GTAGAAATGTATCTAGAAGGCCAGCAGCCAGCTTCTTCGACAATAGCGGATCAATATCCCGTGTGTATAGGCAGTGGTTGTGTTCTAAGAGAGTCCGAGGAACGAGGACGAGCGTAGAATGTCGTCTATGCGGCGGATGTCGGGGCTCAGGTATTTTGCCGCACCCTGCCGCAACTTGCCGCACCACTAACGCATCATTACTGCCGCACCCGCACTAAATCAACACATTTCACTTTTAGTTTCGATAATCACTGTTGACGTGCACAATATAATTGGTTTACCGTCAAACTCATCAATTATGTGCCTCATGGTCATGCCTTTGAGAGTCTGAATCCCGAGAACAAGTTGAGTACTATGCTGCGGCACGGATGCGGTAGTGGGTGTGGTGGCTTCTTGACGGTCAGTCTTGATATCATTACTGTATGTACTGCATGAGACATTGACATTCAGACTGTCACTAGATCACCCTCCTTGCAACGGCCTGTCTCGCTTATGCGCCCTCTGGCTACTACTGGCACGTAGTACTCATTGCATGAGACACAATGCGGCATGCACCATACTCTTTCGCACAGTCACTAATAACGATGTTCTTTCTTTGCAGATGCTAACATATTTTTGCATGAATGATGTTCAAGTTGTTGGCATGATACTGGTGTGATACCTGGCTTGACCTCCAACTAAGTTGTGATCTGTCCTTGATGGATATAGATGTCGACTTGGAGTGCCTTGGTATACTAGAACAACAAATGTTTGAGCTCTCATTGGCTGCAGGCACTGCAGGGAATGAACAATGGGTAAAAGATGCCAATGCTCACCAAGACTGATGGAATCCATATGAGGGCCTCCTGAGTACTGGAATCATGGTGATTGAGATCCATATGCACCCGAATTTGAAGGAGAAGTGGACATGAGTTGTTGTCATATTGTAGCATGGATTGCTCTGAAACACTTTACACAATAGTGTGGGCCAAACTTTAGTGAAGGAAGTGAGCCCGAAGTCATTTTTAAAAACGAGAGACAGACCCAAAAGCCGAAACCGCGGCCACGACCAAGGAAGGCACATAAGGTGTCTTAAGTTGACAGTAGTCCATAGAACTTGTGTACTGTGAAAGTAATGAGTCTTATCTAAAGGCCATATACCCATCACATACATACCTTAGACCCTAATATCCGTTCTCGCGGGGGCACAGAATCATGTTTGAGGCCCAAAGATGTGCTGTAGTGAAGTTGTCAAGGCATGTCACCAATGAAGACATATCTTGAACAATAGGAATTGAGGCGTTGAACTGTGTGAGGAGTTGTTTAGTAGTTGAACCAAGTTTCGCGTGAGGTGCTGCAAGTGTACTGCATAAGATGGGTGTGTTGGTGTGGGTGCGGTGCACAGCCACTGCCGCATCACTGCCGCATCACTACCGCATCACTACCACATCACTGCCGCACCCATCAAGTATACTATCACTGTTGTATCAGTGTAATTCTAACTCAAAAACATGCACTATGATATTTTTGCGTCAATAATCATATTCATGGCCTTTATGGACGACATAGACATATTATACAGGGATATAAGACACTATTAAGTAGGGTGTGGCAGGATGCGGTACGATGCGGCAAAATCCCAAGGCCCCTTTTTGGGACATCTCTTCTTCTTTTCATACTATGACTTGAGAAACTTCAGTACTCAACAACTTGTAGTCCTTAACACCCATTCTTTCGCTTTTCTTATACAAACACTCTCGTTAAAACACTACAATGCCTCGTTTAACAAGTGATCTGAATCTCAGTGTCTGTCCAAACTACGCAGATGAGAATTTCGCTAACACTAGACTCCAACTCACCAATGAGAACATGACTGAGGCTCAGGCTGTTACAATCCTTAGGAATATTTGGCAGACGCAAAACACTGCCGACAAAAACCAATGGCAAGCACAAGTAGAAGCAGACAGAGAACAGCAAGACAATCTGGAGAGACTCTGTGATGAAGAACAAGAGAGACAAGAACAGGAATGCCTTGACGAGGAAGAAGCTTCGCGGAAGGAAGACAAGAAAAAGAATAAGCATAAGTACTCTGCTATTCCTGAACTGGATGTCCCTATAAAACCAGTAATCCTTCCTTCCCCCTACGCTATCCGTAAGCTAGACAAAGGAGACTATGTCGAACTCTGGTACTTCACCAACAACGGACTAGACAACGCGAAACTCAAGAGCTCCGTCGATGAAGACACCATGATCATGGCCACCTTAGCGGGAGGTAGCACAGCTTGGGTATCAGCAGCTTCAACGCGGAACACGACAGTTGTCATTGACGATGAAAATTTCACTTTCGAAAACTTTTGTCAAGCCTGCCCATGCATAATTGAGGCAATGCAAGAGACCTCATGGCCAGCAGATCGTGTTCGAATGATGGCTCTCTTTTGGTGAAACTTACAGGTCCATGATTTTCGTTCAGAGCACGATGCCTTAGCGCAAAAGGCTCTACTTGTCTACCAAGCAGAACAGCGGAAATGTTGGCACATTGCTGTCAAGTTGGCTGGCGGCGCATATGATCTATCTCGAATCAACAAGACACTCTTAGTACACACTAGATCTAATGTCTACCTCGACAAGCGCAAGAGACTGGACAATCAGCGTGATTATAGGGTCAGTCCTTTTTCCTTCAATAAAATAATTATACGCTAATCCCACATTTCTCATACTTCACTATCTGAACATCTCACCCAATACAACACTACAAAATTTTGATACATGCCACACGCTACACACCATACACTACACATTATACACTTCATGCCACATGCCACACGCCACATGCCACGCACTAACTGCCTCACATCCCGCGTCGCCTCACATTATGCCTCACTACACATTGTACCTGCTATCAGATGGACCAACAAATCAACGCACTCACAGCGAGTTCATCTTCCAACCAGCATCATAGAAACAGGGACAACATTTGTCCATCACGAGACCATCGTCGTCGATCAGCATCCCCATGCCCAGGACATGATTATCGTTGCCGCTCGGCATCTCCGGAGCCAAACAAACATTCTCGACAGGATTTTCGAAGCGGCACAAATGGATGTCCCCTATCCGCTTGCGCCGTGTGCTTGGGAAGACACCTGCACAGAATCATCGAATGCAAAGCGTCCAAAACATGGGACGATTCTACAGACACTCTTTGCACCTGAGTCGGCAGAATACTCACCATGTGAGATGGCCATCCAATCTGCAGGCGACACCACACACGACCGTTGTCACTTTTGTTCTGGATGCGCCGCCTCCTCTCACGGAGCACAAGTCTGTGCTTCGAGCTGCAGAAAGCTTAAAGCCCTCACTCCCTATGACCCAGACACATGGGAAGCTTGTCTTATGAAAGCTGGTCTCATTGATAGATACTCTCATATTCCCGAAGGACTCCATCAAGGTTTTCTTCTTAATCTTCCTGTCATTACAAAAACCCAAATTCCGCCAAACAAAAATTCTATTCTTATATATACCAATGAGTTCCAGTCCATCATCAAATCCAAAATCCAAAAAGAAAGATACATTGGCCCATGTACGGCAGCCGAAATCGAGAGCTTTATCAGCCCCTTCCAATCATCGCCCTTATCAATCATTCCGAAACCAGGTCGATCAGGGCGATTTCGCGTCATACAATATTACTCATTTCCTCATGCACCTTCCTTCAAATTCCCTAATCCATCCATCAACTCGTGTATTGATCCGAATGATTTTCCCAGTACCTGGGGAACATTCCACACGATTGCACTCATTATCAGCTGTCTACCTCCAGGATCACAAATGGCCACGAGAGATGTATTGGAAGCATATAGAACAATACCTCTGCACCACTCGCAGTGGCCAGCTGCAGTTGTTCGAGTCGCAGATGACCAATTCTGCATCGACACATGCATGTGCTTCGGAGTTTCCCCCTCAGCAGGAGTCTACAGTTGTGTCGCAGATGCTGGACTTGACATTTTTAGGTCCGAAGGGATTGGTCCTACATCACGATGGGTCGACGACCATTTATTTTTCCGTATACGGAAAGAATTCCTCGAGACATATAATAGACAACGGTTACAATGGCACAATGACATCATCACAAGGGGCAACCATCAAGATGGAGGCCGAATATGGTTTGGTGGGTACATCTTCGATGACTGGAACTATTGAAGAATTCGATGAAGATTGCCTGATTCTCAATTGCCGATTTGTCAGGGCACTCCCTACGATCTTCGGAAGATAGCTTTTTCACTTACAACATCGACAACATTGATAGATCCTCTAGTACCACAAAGACCCCTTGGGAGCTTAAGAAAGACAACCCCTTTGCCTACTCTAATCCGTACATTGGTCTTACCTGGAATCTTACAGATAACTCAGTTTTTCTACCAGAAGACAAAAAGGCCAAATATCCTTTGTGCTTTACGAGAATGGAAAAACCGTATGGCTCACATTCTTAGTGACAGTCCAAAAGCTACATGGGAAGCTCCTTCACGTCACGCTGGTATGTCCTCGAGGACTGAGCATATCTCATGAACCTCGAGTCCATGCTGCGAGTTGGTCATAACCGTCCATTTTTACCTCATAGACCAGGTTAAAGGCTTGGCTGAGGATCTCGATTGGTGGAAAAATCTTTTACAGAGCTCCTTTGTCGGATGTGACATTCCCAGGCCTCTATCTTTACATGACCTTCAGGCTTTCTCAGACGCCAGCTCTGGAGTCGGAATCGGAATCGTCATCGGAAAACGTTGGAGAGCCTGGAGGTTATATCCAGGGTGGTCAACTCTCGATGGACAAAAAGATATCAGCTGGGCTGAAGCAATCGGTTTCAAACTTCTCATTCGACACATTGTCACCTCAGATAGACCAGAACGACACTTCCAAGTATACGGTGACAACCAAGGAGTCATTGAAGGGTGGAAGAATGGACATAGTCGCAACACAGCCATCAATGAAATCTTCCAGCGAATCTTCGAGTTCTTATGCAGCATACCAGCTACACACTCTTTCCACCCAACATATGTCACCAGCAAGTCCAATCCAGCTGACCCGCCATCCCGAGGCATCTATCGCGACACGAAGTTACTCCTCAACCCCATTCCCATCCCCGATCCACTCCGTCGTTTCATCTATGATCCCTTCGACGTCGCACCAAGCAAACCATCATCTCCATGAACCATCCATATCCTCATCTCATCTACTGTCCAACATCCCAGCGAATCTCTCGTCAGCAGAGAATAATTTTCCTATTCACAATATGAGGGTAGAACAACAGAAGCAAAGGGACCGCACTCGCTTCACAACGCCACTCATACCCTCTGTCTTGCTAGCAAAACCAGCTCCATACAAAGCAGGATTAACTCCCGCAGTATCTGCGCTACGCCCACACTGCCTAGCACGTGAACGGCTCAAACTTTGGCACCCGTTAGAGAGTCGGTCATACCGAAATGCCCAGGGACAGATTCTCGCCATCACGGATGATGATCTCCAACGAGTTTTGACAGTAATGAACTTGTCATGGGCACAGGGTACTAGAGAGTCATATGGGGCCGGTCTGTTAGTTTTCCATGTCTTCTGTGACACACGAAACATCCACGAACACGAGCGATGCCCCGTCGATACTCTCACAATGCTCACCTTCGTAACGAGCTGCGCAGGAGCATACTCAGGAAAAACTTTAGCCAATTACGTTTTTGGCATTCGGGCATGGCACGTCCTTCATGGACAGGGATGGAAAGTGGACCAAGGTGAATTGAAGTCAGCGTTAGATGGAGCAGCAAATGAAGCACCTCCCGGATCAAAGCTACCTAAAAGAGACCCATTCGCGATTACATCCATAATCAAAATCCAAACACACCTCAATCTAGAAGCACCGCTCGACGCCGCCGTATTTGCATGCCTAACAACATCATTTTATTCGCTAGCACGACTTGGGGAACTGACCGTCAAATCAATCAAAGTATTTTCTCCAAGTCAACATGTTAAACGGAGAGACGTACTATTAGATGGGGAAGATCGTCATAGACTTCGAGTCTCCAAGATACACATACCACGCACAAAGACTTCAGCAGAAGGCGAAGACATCTACTGGGCTGAACAATCTGACGAATCAGACCCCAAAGCGGCGCTCATTAACCATTTTCGAATCAATGATCCCTTACCTGATCACCACCTTTTTGCATGGAAACACCCCAAAGGCATGCGCCCACTAACTCGAGGCACATTCTTGAAGAGAGTCGGAATTATAGCCAAGCAAGGGGGATGCCCAGAATTAAAAGGTCACAGCATTCGGATTGGCAGCACGCTCAAATATCTGCTGCGAGGAATTCCATTTGATGTTGTCAAGTCTATGGGAAGATGGTCAAGTGAAGCATTCACCCTGTACCTGCGCAATCACGCTATGATAATGGCACCATACCTTCAAGATACCCCAATAATTGAACCCTTCACTCATTACACAATGCCACAGCTCCGTTAGTCCAAGGTGTGTCTTGCCCCACTCCTTATAACAGGGAGTTCAAGCTTCGCCGAACGCATCGCAAGGCTCCTTATGTTTGGGAATCACGGCTAATCTCGACCTCCCAGGTTCGAAGTGTCGTTTCTGGCCGAAAGCCCCTTCGGGCCTTGCCCAAATACTTACATGCTCCCCTTTCCCCTCGTAGATTGGATAGTACTTGTACAGTGACCAATCCGATAGTTCTTCTCTGTCCAGAAAAAAGAACTGAACGCATAGATTGTGTGACGATGAGCTGATTGGTTTCAGACTTCGAATTCGGAATCGCATAGTTGCAAGTTGTCAGGTGTTTGTGCTTGCGAGGGTGCGCTCATTACGTAATATGGTTGGGATGTCACTACCCGAGACTTCGACTAGTTGTTAGACCTAATCATCTAGTCAACTCATCAACCAAACTCCCCAGCCTTCTGGCAGCTGATTATAACATTGAATCGTCGCCTTCAAAGTTCAAATTCAAGGTCACATGTACATAAGTATTTTCATTATCAAACTCGCGCATAAATTTACGTGAAAGCCGCAGTGTCTCCAGTTATCTCTCATCTTCCTCAAGCAACGTGTTTGAGAGTCGCCGAACAACAAACAAGGATCAACGGATGTTGAACGTGACATTTATTCGACTCAGAAAGCTCTTGAAACATCTGTTCCAAGTGTTGACCACGCTCGCAACTTCATCTGCACGACGACTACTTATTCTTGTATCATGCTTTCGGCGCTTTGTGGCCAAGGTTCATGCTCCAATCGTGCATGATACTGACTCCATTGTAGACTCATGTTGTACTGTCTTGACTAGGGTCTCCAGTGTACGGTGTTCCGACTCCACCTTGCCATTATCACTTCACACTACTCCGCCGAGTGCAGCAAGCTCTGTGGCTTCAACACCTCCGTTTTCCATGCCTGTTCCCTATGCTAACCCGCCACAGATGCCTTCGCCTCCAGCAGTCGTTAATGCAATCTCTCCCAATGACCTTCCCAACACTCTCCATTTTGTGCCATCTGCTGTAGATCCCAAATCGCGATATGAGAACCGTCCTCCTGTGTATGTAGATGCATCTCATCAAATCAAATTTTCCTGAGAAGTTACCCTCCAGAGATATATCTCACTCCAACTACAACGGAATTCAAGCATTCATGAGGTCCTTCCCCAACGAGTGAGTACACCAGTCAGGCATCCATGGGAAAGCGGATTACGAATTGTACAGATCATGCCCTTGGTTGAATGTGAATGTTGAATGGGAGCCTTGTATACATCCCGAAGGCGCGTTGTATCTGTACAATGACCGCAAGGTAATAGTGTGTATTTGTCATCGACTATCGACCACAACCCCTACAGAGAACGTTCACTGAAGGACACATTAACGAACATTTGTTCCGCTTGATGGACAGATCTGCGGATGATCTATGCGACTTGGCACGCAGACAATCACCAACCTTTGACGTTGATGATATCGAGCTCGTTGTGCAGGTAGTGCCGAACCAAACAGATTCTTGTCAATACTACTTTGTCGATCATGCAACTCGAACGCTCTTTTGGCTGCACGCTTACGATCAAGCGACGGAGACTATCTTCGATGGTTTCCAAGGTGTCTGTGATCCGAGTCACATTCGTACGTCATGCGAACTTATAGCGCTCGTGATATGAACTAGTAGTCAATAGGATATGCCTTGGAATCTCAATACTGGTTCGTCAGTTGTAATTGTGAGTCTCATCTGCTTCTAGTTGGACCGGTCCAAATCTGGTTGTTAATGTGTTCTTAGATACAATATGATCATCTTCAGCCGAAACGAGTAGGCTGCATTGTGAACGCTATCCAAAACACACGCTAGATCGAGTCCAGCTTCTGAAAGAATTGAAGGTGATTGTTGTGCATGCGAGTGCAGGTAGTTGATCTCCTGCAATGATCCCTTCATCCTTTTGAACGTAAAACTTAGAAATCATCACTTCGGATATTTCTTTGTCGCCTTTTGGTGCTGATGAACTTACCAGAATCTTGGAACTGTTAAACCAGCTTCAAGGTGCGATGAGTTTTTTTCGAGCCGTTTATATTGCAAAGTTTAAAATATTATACATTTCCAGAGAGTGCTCAGGAATCCGATTTCCCTCATTGCACTTGTGTCATTGGTACGTGAAGCCATAAAAATAGTGTAATATACCCCGGAGATTCACTGTCTTGATAATAGCGAGGTTCATGCATTACTTCTGTATGTTCTTGGTCTTGACATATCGGAGCTTAGCTCATTTATTCTTAAGGCAAGGCCAAGTATTACAATTTCTGCGGTCTACCTTGGGCCCGTCTCGATGCCGACAAATCTGTGTACACTGAGATTCCTAGTTTTCATCCGGTGATCAGTAGTCTTTCTTTGGCCTTTGACGCCATACTTTTTTGGGCACCACAAGCACACTTGAACGATCTTCGAAGGGTATGGGTAGATAAGTGCCTCAACTCACCGCGGTGGAAAGACTACAATACAAAGCTCATGACAGAGTGGACCGGAATCACCATCTATGTACGTACGATCGACTTTACATCACGCTTCGTAAGTTGATTCTGGTTTTGTTTTCAACAGTCCACCGTCATGTTAGCTGTAGATGTGAGTTTCCTTGCAGTGCCAAACGTAAACATTTCCACGTCGCAATCAATCGGGATCATTGCTATATATCTCTCGACGATCTCGATAACTGGCTCCTTGGTCGTCTCAGTCCTGCTGGTCCGTCAAAACCAAAGATATGGTTGTGAATCAGCGGACAAAGCAGTAGGTCGTCGCCTTGGCACTCATCTCTCTTGCGCTAAGCAGTCTGCACAGGGAGACTTCCTGCGCAGTATGACTGATACGTTTTTGGGGGATAAAGGCCTTGCGACAATCAACAGCCTCCCCTACGCGATGCTCATGTGGGGGTAGGTGAGATGAATACTTTCTGACTAGGGCTAATGACAATTACATTTGCTCTCACCAGGATGATTTACTTCTCAATCGCACTGCTGTACAACGTGTTCAAGTCTACGACAACGGCCATGCTGGCATTAGTTGTCGGTGAATGCGTGGTTGTTACTATATTTATATCGTGGTTCATCTGGGCAGCAAGAGAGCTAGATATCTCCAAGCGACTGTTTGAGCTCATATTATCTGCCAGAGGACACGTCTTAGCACACTTTGGGGTTCACTAAATCTCAAATGAAATGACTTCTTCATACATAACAATGTAACCCAAATCTACTACCATCTCTATATTTCACAAAAATTTCACTATTCCAATATGCAAAGAGCTGTAAGTGGACTGATTTTTTTTTCTGACGCAACTCTACAAATCACTAGTCACTCGCGTGTCAGTGTCAACGGCCATATTCCACCGACGTGAAAGCAAAAATACGACTGACTGAACAGTAAAACAAGGACTGTCATTCAGGTGAGTCATATCATCAGGTCCAGGAACATGCTGATACTCACACATTGATTCCAAAAGCAGCCCGGCTCTTTGCACTGTGAGTCTTTATAGCAAGCCTTAGAACACTTTTTGCCGTCATTAGTAGTGGGCATGGCCGAGATCGATGTCATTAAAGCAGCAATGGTGGGGAGGACAATTGCAGAGGAGAAACGCATTATTTGTGACTCGTGTGTGGGCTTGGGTAATTCTGAAGGGGAAGTTAGGAAGACTGGCTTTTATATTGTTCTCTGGAATTACTGTTGCGTGGATGCGCCATCAAATATAATTTATGCCAGCACAAGAGGTGTGAAAAAGGGAAATGCCAGCCAAAGTCCACCACGAGATACACTTTGAAATCTCCACTTTGAGACCGTTCTGAGTTCTTCGATAGATAGACACTTGTTCATGGCAGGGTGATGCATAACCACAATAACTGTAATTAACCGTGATCATTCAAGTAGTTCTCGTTGTCGCGTACTCGTGCTGTTCCCTTGAGATTGTTTTTGCCTGTGCTTGTTCTTTGTCTTGGCGTTACTGTCACGTGACAGAGGTCTAGGGGCCGAAGTTGCTAGTTTAAATCATATATTGCAAATTTGACTTCTTGTGCCAGCATGGTGTCAGGGAGGCAGGTAATGGATCACAGGACTCCCCACCCGGCAGCCTGTGGCAGAATTCCGGCACATGTCAGGTTCACCTTGCTCATATAGTATGTGTGACGAAATCTGACGGACTATGTGCCTATAATAAACTATAAAAAATATCAATAAATTATCAGAGCGGCTGATAGATGCATATCTGATAGGCACAGTGCAGATAGTTTTGCCTCAGAATAGTTCTGCCACTACATATTATCAATGTATGGCCAGTTTCCTCTCGACTGTACCAGCTGTCCAACTTCCCACAAATTATATATCCGCTGATGTAGCCAAGAAATACTATTACCCATGTATGGCCGATTCTTCTCGACTGTCCAACTTCCCACAAATTATTATACGCTGATGTGGCCAAGAAATACTATATAATGATAAAAGCCATAGAAAACGAAGACATATTATGTAGATGAGGCAAAAACGCAAAGGACACAAAAGTTACTCCCCAAGTTTGGTTGTTCATGTGCTGGAAAGGCATGAAACCTTCGAGCATGCCTATCTTCTAGTAGTGAATAACGCAATCATTCTCGTAGCATGAAATATCTAGGAATCGCTTCGTGAAGGTCTTGGACAAACCCGTTGATTCGCAGACGAAAGTTCACATCACAGCGAGCGTGATGTAAACTCAAGCCTGGGCAACTGTTCGCAGCGAAAAGTTGCAAGCTGCGAAGAAGCCACACGCCATACGGAGAGGAAGCATCCGGCTTCAACGATGAGCTGAGCCACGTCCGAGATACGTTCTCGCAACCAGCGCAAATAGCTGTGGTGTGTCCACCTGGCCGCTCGTCTGCACCAGTCAAGATTGCGTATAGATGATCTTGAAGGTGTTCGCGTCCAACTATGAAGCACCGAAGGTCCGATGGGGATAATTGTAGGTGGCTTTGGCCACCCTCGGATAGATGATTCCAACGGAGAATCGAAAGCGCATAGAATGATGCAGGAAGGATTTCAGGAACATTACATTCTCTTGCGAGATATATAGCCTCTAGCGCACATTTTAGACCAGTATATAGGAGAAAATAAAAGCTCACCAGCGGCATGAGGGAACGCGGCATAGGTCATTTTGGTGAGCTCTTGGGGCCAGCGCAGAGATAGCTGACGTTTGCTCCATTGACGAAGGTCTGGGATGTCATATTTGTTGGATAGTCGTAGGGCTCCTGCTATGGTATCAAAGACGACAGTTAGGTTATTGAACTTCCTGGAGACATAGTTATATACAATCATAGTTTGATGGATGAGATGGCTTACTCCCGTTGGTACATCCATGTCAAGACGACTAGCCAGTCATTCGCAACATCTTGCGACAAACTGACCAGAGGACACCCATGCATTCTCTCGATGTCGGCAGGCTGCGGAAGTTCGAGCATGTCCGCAAAAACTATAGAACACATGAGCTTGCTCCGGTGGATTTTCCATGATTGCCCTTCGACACCAATCACGATGTCCCCGTCGGCAAACCAAAACTGTGACTGCTCAGTTGATGGTTCAGATGTTCTGAAGTGGCTCGTGCGTTGTCGTTTCGCTGGAGGAGGCAATGTCTGCATATCCTCGTCGGCACTGTGCATCGTTGGAGACTAATTATTTTAAGCAGTAAGTTGTGCGCAGTGCCATCGACCTAATGTTGGTGGCGTGGAAATAGACGCGTCGCGTCTAATCATGGTACCAAAAGGTCGTCCTGCTAAATAAGGTGGCCACTAGTTTCCATACATACGTCATCATTCTATATCACCACCCGTATCATTTCCCGCCATCTCAAGTTTCCGTTTACGCCCAGGTAGTTCAGCACCATCACCATACCCTACGCCCGCCTTCTTCCGTAGCACCTCTATATCTTGTTCAGCCTCTTCTGCCCACTGAAGTACAAGATGTCTCCCAAGTAAATGCGTGTGTCGTAGTGCAGCGTATGCGTTCTCCGCTTCGTGCCGAGTGAGGAACTCCAAGAATGCGAAACCACGCGAACGCGAGTCGAACTTCTTCGGAAGACGTACGGATTTGAGATGACCATGGACACTGTATGAGTCCGGGTTGAATGGGATATTAAGCTATAGACGGTAGATTGTACTGACCCAAACAGCTCTCTAATATCCTTCTTCGTAGCTTCGAATGGAACATTTTTCACTATCATCTTCGTCGACCTGTTCTTGGCGACTGTATTGTCCTTAGGCTCGTCTTCTGTTCCGCGCCCAGCGAACTTGACGTGCAATGAATGACCGTCAAGTATAAAGCCCTGCATACTCTTCATAGCCTTCTTCGCATCCTCGGCCGTCTTGAACCCCACGAAGCCATACCCCATACTCAGCCGGGGGGCTTCAGCACTAGGAACAGTAGGTCGTTTGGGATCAGGCTTGGTCTGTACTCGCGCGAACGAGAATCCAGAAAGACTCCGGAAGACTTGCGTCAGACGCTCTGTAGTGGTACTGAAAGCCAGATTCTTGATGAACAAAGTCGTACCAGCAGACAAAGCAGGCTCGTCTACATCAGCACCGGTGCCATCTTCCTGTTCAGCGATAGTGATCGGCTTGAATGCAGTAAGCGTACGGCCTGAGTTTCGTGCGGCATCCGCAGTCTCCAGGAACATGCCCAACGGACCCTTCTCCAAGTACACGACACTACTTCCGAGACGTCGGTAAGCTACTGCTCGGAAAGCCTTGGTAGCTTCATCTGCCTGCTCGAATTCTACCACCGCCATGGTACCTGCCGGTGGTACGATGACGCGGCTGAGTTCTCCGTGTACCTCGAACATCTCACGTATCTGTTCCGCAGTGGTGCCATAGGGGATGTTTTTCACAAGTATCGTAGTATCGGATCGCGCTCGGGAAGAAAATGACGATAGGATGACCCCCTGGGACTCAAGGTACGACTTCGTCTCTTGGATAACATGCGTCTCTGCAAGCGCAAGCTTGACTGCTGCATTGTCTGACTCGGGATTCAGAATATCTGACTTGGCAATTCCCATTCGATCGGCAATAGACGATGCCACTGCATCGCTCTGCACATGCATTTGCATGAGATCTCGATATATAGTGCATAACATGACAAAGGCTTGACGAACATTCATGTACAACATACTCCAATTGAAATCCCGCCCAGCCATGGCTTTACGCCGAGAACCTCTTTCGTCTTTTAACGTTTGCTTTTTCCCCTCGCCCTCTACTACCTCGAACTTGCCTTTTTGGTCAACAGCAGGAATGATGTGGAGAAGACGACCTTGGAAGGACGTCTTGTCCAGCGTCTCATGCGCCGAGAGGGCAGATGTCGGCTGTTTGAAGGTCACGTAGGCTAAACCTTTCGGCTTCTTAGAGAAGGAGTCCATGAGCATATGTACCTGGGAGGATGGGTCAGCGAAGTGATCAGCAACAGAAATAGCAAGGCGGGAATAATAAAAGTCAGACAAGTTTTCTACTATTCGGTTCCCGGGGATCAGCACGTCCATGGAGGATCAGATGTCCCTAAGTGTTTATCATCAAGAAAAGAGAAAGATGTGGGGAATATACGACCAGGCCACAAAATACTCACCTTTACAACTTCGCCGAATGGTTGAAATAGCTCCATGATCTCGGCTTCCGTACACGAGAAGGCAAGATTTCGAAGGAATAATCGAGACGTCTGCAAAATCGTTTTGGTTGACGAGTCCAGGTGTTCTTCAGGAATGGCGCTCTGGTTAACCTCATGCTCGTTATCCGATTGCTCAAAGACTTTGTCGGGTAGTGAATCTGAAGCATTCATACGCTGTTTCATCCACTCGAGGTCCGAGATGGCCTCGTTATTAGGTGGTCCATCAGATACGTTCGTTGTCTCGGGAGAGCTGGCCGGCAGTACTGGATGAGATTCCTTAGCTTCATTTGCCCACGACGGGCCCTTTTTCGTGCGAGATTGCATGACATCCATGAACTGATCTAGCGAAGACGCTGATGTTGACGGGACTGTTGTGCTTGCCTTACCATTTTTATCCACCTTGTGAACATGTGGTCGCGATGACGGTCCTGGGTCAGTAGTGGTATCTTCCAGGCGTCTTCTTTTATTTGGTCGAGGAGTTGGAGCATTCTTCGCGCCCTACAGGTAGATTTTAAAACAAAACAACGACACTTGAGAAGAGAAAACTTACTGCAACAACCACGACATTGATTCGCGTCGAGTCTATGAACGTGCGGTCGAACCAGTCCCTGGCAGCGTTTGCTTCTTGATCCGTCTTGAAGCCAACGAAACCGAATCGACGCGATGTGCCGTCTTGCTTGTGTGAAATCTTCACATCTGTGATGGTTCCAGAGGGAGCACCTTGTTGAGCGAAGTGCGCTCTAAGGCGATCTGGCGTCAGGTATGCGGGTAGATTTTTCACAATCAAACGGGACATTGTCGCAAATATCGTGGAGACCAGAGGAAAAATCTCAGAACATAAATTAACTCCGACCGGATGTACCCGTTCTCAGTGCTCAGTTGACTCGTGATTTGAAATTCCTTGACGCGGTGCGCGCACATAGACCACTAGTCTTTAAATAATCAAAGCAGGATTTGGGGTGGCCCACGTTAACGTTATATATATCATTTGTCACTCCCACCACTGTTGATACTGGTAAATCACACCCTCGTTCCCTGGCTTCCTCCGCCATGTCTGTGAACGCAATAGGTACTCAAATTCGCTCCAAATCCTCGGATTCTACTTTTCCCCCATTGCCCGACACATTTCCAGATGTCAGCCCAATCACAGGTCCGGCGATAGATCTTTACGAAGATGGCTACAATGATCCAGTGTATCAGGCGAAAGCTCGCATCTTGAATCGTGCAATACAAGACATCGGCATGGGTAGATATCAGGCATGTGGCATTCCATTCTGACGTATATCTCAATCGCGAGAACTCGAAATGACAGTGGTATCTCTTCGTGGTCACAGGCTTTGGCTGGTTCGCGTGAGTTGTATTGTGACCACTTCCTGCATCATTTCTGATCCAAACGTGTGTCCGGTGAAAAGCGACTCTGTCTGGCCCGTGTGTTTATCCGTTTTTGGCATGTTTTCACTAGACTGAGGTTCGCTATAGCTTTTGAGCGGACTTATCCTCACACCTGTCGTCAATGAATTCCACTTCAACGGACCTTTCCTGTCGTTAGCTTCGAATCTTGGGCTTCTTGTCGGCGCCGTGTTTTGGGGTCTTGGATGCGACATTTGGGGACGGAGGTACGTATAGAATACCGTGACATGTGGATCTGTTCGCGCTTCATGCGATATTCAGATGGTCTTTCAACGTCACATTGTTTATCGCTGGAATATTTGGGTTGGCATCAGGTGGAGCTCCTAGTTTTGTTGCACTAGCGTCCTTGATCGCTATGGTCGGCGTCGGTGTGGGAGGTCTGCTGTTTTCACATTTCTCTTGAAAAATAACATTTTATGACCATGTCACAGGCAACTTGCCAGTGGATTCTGCTGTTTTTCTTGGTGATAAGCAGTTTACATATGGACGTGCCAGATAACTGATTCTGATTCTACCAGACTTCGTCCCAGGTTCCCACCAGTACTTGCTCACCATCCTTTCCATCTGGTGGTGTCTCGGACAATTGCTGTCCAGTCTCGTGCGTATCACACGTCTCTTCGTCCCGATTGCTAATGGGACTTCAAGGTTGCTTGGCCTCTGATTGCCTATCATTCTTGTGCGAGTGCTTCACACTGCACCAGATCCGACAACATGGGATGGCGTTACTTGTTATTCATCCTTGGCGGAATCACACTTTCACTGTGGGCTGTTCGGTTTTTCGTCTTCACGTTATTGGAGAGTCCGCGTTTCCTCTCTGGCATCGGTCGTGACGCTGATGCCATCGAGGTCATCCATAAATTGGCAAAATTCAACGGAAAAACATCTTCCATCACAGTGGAAGAGCTTGAGGCTCCCGACAGAGCAACATCAGGCGGACGTTCATCCTCCCCGAAAAGGCACAACGTCCTTAGCAAGAGTTCAAAGTATGACACTGGCCATATCAAAGCTCTCTTTGCTACTCCAAAAATGGCTTGGTCGACTAGTCTCCTGATTACTATCTGGGGTAAAAATGTAGTCATTGTTGTGTGTGCAATTGCTAACGAAACACAGGTGTTATTGGACTTGCCTCCACGCTGTATAACAATTTCTTGCCATATCTGTAGGTCCTCAAACTGGGTATATACCGTCTGTTTGTCTCACGCCTTGTAGACTTTCCAGCCGTGGTACTGTCTTCGGGGATGGATCCCTGTACATCACTTATCGCAATGTACGTATAATACTTCGTCCCATATCTATAGTTGAATTTGCTCTACAGCAAGTCGTTTTGAGTGTCATTGGTGTCCCTGCTGCCTTGCTCGCCGGTTGGGCAGTGGAACTCCCATACATTGGGCGCAAGGGTACTCTTGCTATTGCCTCAGGCAAGTAACAAGATAGTACTACGCACGTTCTTTACTCAACGACCCTCCGCAAAATGAAGGACTCACTGGCACGTTTCTGTTCGCGACGACCACCGCCCAGACATCCAACCAGCTCCTGGGATGGAATTGTGGATACGTGTTCTTCAGCAACGTAAGTGAATTAGTTTGTCGGACTGTGAGACTAGATTAAATGTGGTTAGATTATGTATGGCGTCTTGTATGCTATTTCCCCTGAGATCTTCCCCGCAAAAGATCGCGGAACAGGGAATGGTCTGACATCCACAGCCTCGAGAGTGTTTGGCGTTTTGGTGCGCTCACTTACTGTCTTGCACTACTTGTTCTTATTGTGTCCCGAATCTTAGGCTCCCGTCATTGCACTATATGCCAACCTCGCTACGGCGGTACCTGTATATATCGCTGGAGCTTTAATCATGTTTGCTGGTAGCCTGGCTCTCTTATTGCCCTATGAGCCCAGAGGTAAGGTTTCTATCTAAAAGTTTTCACCTGTGATACCACGTACGTCTCGACTGCTTGTGGAACTTGAATTGTACTAGGTTATGTGTTAGATTGCAGTAACGTGACCCAAAGGATTGCTGTCGCGTGAAAAATACTTACATTCTCCGCCGCAACTCTGACATTAATATGTCTAGCTATATATTCTTAACTTCACCAGCAACTTAGAGGACACAGCTGAAGTTACAAGCGTTTGATCGTTCTCCGAATTTTCAGTCTCTGTATTTCTTCTGTTTTATGCATTGTACGATTATGTCATTGCTCAGTCACTACAGTGTACGAAGCACTTTTCCAGCCTCTCGGATTGGCCCGAACTTGAAAATGTATCTAGTCCTCGAGATTTGACCGCTTTGTACCGTAGAGTAGCACAAATGCAATCTTTTTACTTGTAGATTAAGGCTATCTCATTAGAATTTTGAAAATCAAGGTGTTGAAAAATTTTCCAACGAAATTTGAAACATGTTGCAAGAAATGGTATTTCTGGGTAACTGAGCAGGTATACGATAGTAAGTATGAATCAGATGATCTACAGAAGCCATCTGCTCGCAATTTGAGCATCCAGCGTGGTCAAAATATCTGTCGCAAACCCAACACGACGGTGGGAGCAGTACTTCTTAACCGCGAAGGCTGCTTGTTGTGTGTCGAGTCCTTTACTGTTCAAACTTCAGCGTTGCACGATTACTCGACAGTAAACATACCAGTAAGCATCCATATAATGCCAAGCTTTGCGGAAAAAACGGTGAATGATCAAAACATCGCACATGTCAAGACATTGTGGAACCAGTGTTTTCGCGGTTGAGAATTTGCCATCAGCGACAATCTCATTGCTTCTTTGCTCGAGCAGCTTTCTTTGCCACAGGAGGCATATGAATGGTCCAGGGGAGATGAACAGGGTCTAGGGAGCATGGGGTAATTTTTTTTCCAACGGGAAAATTTGAAACAAAATGGGAAATTTCGAAAAATTGCTTATTTTTGCTTGTTTCCTTACAGAATTTTCATTGGACATCGAAATTTGTACTATAGAGGTCCCTACGGAGATGGTATCCTAGTGCTTCGTACACTGTAGTCACCTTTGATCGACGCAGTGGCTTGAACGCTCACATGGCCAGTAGAAATTTGCAATTCATGTTGTGGTGTGTGGATGCGTTATTTTATGTTGTTGTACATGCATTTCCACACCCCCAAGAATCCATAGGAGGGCACGAGCTAGGTGCTTCAAGTAACTGTGCTACAATGTGGAAAAAATAAAATTCCACCGTGACCACAACTATGTGTTTGTTTTCATGTATTTTTTTTGATACCATAGGGCCAGTGCTTTCTTATGTTTGTGGACTAAGAGTGCCACAGCACTATATATCCAGTGCTTGTAATATTTCTTTTTTCTTCAGCTCTATCCATCTCCCTTTCACTGACTTTACACCAGTCATGAACAATGTCATCCCCCCTGCACTCGATAGTCGAAGAGTCACTCTTGAACTGACTACACGTCTTTGCTCTCAAGGCCATCTCCTGGATGGCATCAATGAAATCATGAAGTTCAAAAATTCAGAAGACCACGAGTTACAATGTTACAGTTGAAAGATATCATCTTTTCTGTTAAACATCTTCTCTAGCAATCAACCAATGATTTCCATACAGATCATCTCCCTGACTGAGGTAGATATGGTTCTGATTAGTGCAGGTTCTTTCAATAATACTATTGGTAATTCAGGTCGCACGCAGCACTCTTAGACATTTAAAAGTGGAGTTGTACCTGTTCGTTGCTTGTTCAGAAGCTCTCCTATCATTCAAGTTGGCATACTTTAAATTGCTTCTTTTCATCAAACACCGGAGGCACGCCTTCGGTCCAGACCTGAATGGTAGATGACTGTCGTTATTCTGTTTTAATCCCTCTGACCATCCATACAGAAAGAATATCCCAGCTCTTGGCTCCTCTATATAGTCGCTTTGTCATTTGTGGCACAGGAGTTGATCCCTGTGCCCAACTGGGCATTGAGGGATTGCCAGCCCCTCTAACATACCAGCTACTTGGAAAACCTCAGTACAGCCTGCAGTTCCTGCTACTGCTGTATCGTCAGCACAAACACAAGATGAGGTGTCCCATATCATGCCATGTATGTGAACCTTTTGAGATATTACAGAGACCTAGATTGATAAAACAATTTTTAGCACTGGATGCTCATAAGAGAAAAATGGAGAGATTCACCCCACTTGAAGAATTTATAAAGGAGCAAAAAGCTGCAAAGTACCATCATGCACGAAGACATCTTGCGCTGAAGGCATACCTGATTGGCCACCCGGAGGCAGGACATCTCGTGCCTCAGCAATATGCAATGGGAAACCCGGAGGCAAGACATCTCGTGCCTCAGCAATATGCAACAGGAAACCTGGAGGCAAGACATCTCGCACCTCAGCAATATGCAATGGGAAACCTGGAGGCAGGACATCTCGTGCCTCAGCAATATGCAACGAGAAACCTGGAGGCAAGACATCTCATGCCTCAGCAATACACAATGGGAAACACGGAGGCAAGACATCTCGTGCCTCGGCAATACGCAACAGGAAACCCAGAGGAAAGGTGTCTTGTACCTAAGCAATGTGCAGCAGGAAACCTGGGTCAAAAGTGTCTAGCACCTAAACAATACACAATAGCCAAACCGGGGGCAAAACATCTGATACCTCAACAATCCCCAGCAGGCAGGCCGAATAAACACCAAGCTCTAGTGCCTAAGCATCCCCCAGTGGGCGACGGCAAACTGGGCACCAACATGAAGCCTTGTTTCCCTCCAAGGGCTGTCGACATGGGAAAGGTCATTAAAACCTGGACGGGACATGCGAAAGGAGTGACATCTGTATGCTGGAGTCCAGACGGAGGGCGAGTGGTGAGCAGATCCCACAAAGAGATCAGAGTGTGGGATGTCGAGAGCGGTAAAACCATTCTTGGACCAATAGATGCAGGGATCGACATTGGCATGTCTGCAGTTTGCTACTCGCCAAATGGCAAGATGATCACCACAGGCGGGGTCAACCTGAAAATCTGGGATGCCAACTTGGTGGAATTGCTCAAAACACTTGAGGGTAATTTTACCTGCCTGACATGGACCTCGAATGGAAAAACACTTATTGCTGGTGGGGAATTCCTCACAAAATTTGACACAGCCACATGGACTGCTCTTCAAGTTGATGTGCGCAAAGTCAAAGTCAATACCAATGAGCTCATCCTCGCAAGTTCAAAACACTTGGACAAGACAGTGCAACTATAGAACCTTGAAACTAACCAACCAATCACAACACAACTCCACCATGAAGACCCAGTGAATTGTGTGACCTTTTCCATGGATGGGAAGCTGCTCGTTACTGGCTGCGACAGCAGCTACATATACACATGGGACGATTCAGCCATTATCAAAGAAGCTGGCCTTCTGTTAGATATTGTAAGCTTAAATACATTCTTAATGATACTGACAATGCATCTTCTCTCCTAGGCTGATGCTACACCACGATCAGTCCCAAAGATCAAAGATGCTTGTCAAATACCCTAAGGGTTTTTCGATAATGTATGTGATATGCATCTATGGTTGAATGTTAGTGTAACCGGATGCCAATGTGGTTACTAGTTCCAGTCTAGCTCACGTACTCATCCATCCCATGGGCCCCACTTTGACACCACATCAACACACCTTCAGCCACTTTTCCTCCCTCTGGCGCCGTCCAAAGTCATATAGGACCACCGAACACGAGACACAGCCTCAACCCCACCCTCTCAGCTGGGCTCGAAACATGGTCTCTGGCATGCTGCACAAACGAGATGGATCAGATATGGAGATGCGAGAATTACCAGTAGTTGAGGTTGCATGCACAGCTCCCAAGCCTGTATGTGTTTGCCTTTCATCATTCTTTTTTTATTACCAATTCCTTTCCTGAAGAGGCACTATCACGCGAGAAAGAAACTAGCTGCTGGTTCATCTCGACCTACTATGCAATGATACACTGGCGTAGCAGCACAGAACACAGCATCATTGTCACAGATTCCACCTCCCACTGCCGCCGCCTCAACAACCACCGCTGTCCCTGTTGCCCCAGGGACAACAGGAATAATTTTGCGTCCTAATGTCATTGTTAGACAGGCCGGATGGTGGATCCATCTTGTGCTCTGGGCTACTTGTGCATCTGTTGAGTATACAACCAATCAACCATAGGGCAGTACTCTTTGGTATTTCATTCATACTTTGATATTTTCACAATAATTAGCCGTTATTATCGTATATAGTTATCGTATATAGTTAGTTCATTGGCATGTAGTATAGTGGGGAAGATGCCGATGAAGGTTCAAGGAAATGAAGAATATGTGGATATTCTTAGAAACCAGTCTTGATTGATTGGTCTGCACAGTCCACGTCCAAGCTGTGTAGTAAACACAAACACAGGAATATGGTATGAAGGATGCACCTGCAACTCCGACAACAGCCTCCCATCTGACCAGACCAAGTCATTGTGCAGGTAGTGCCGAACCACACTCTCCCTCAAAGCAAAACTCTGATACTGCCGATGTGTGAGGTATGTTTAATGTTCTGTTTGCACGCTGTCCCATTCTTACCATATTTCACCTCTAGACTTGCCTTCTAGGTATTACAGTCATTGACCATGATTTGAGTTTTCACCATGATTTGCATTTACCTTGTATGACACTCGAATTTGATACTATCCCATGTAACATTTTTGTTCTATCATACGAGTTATGTGCCTAACTACATATTGGCAGTAATGATAGGTATAAAAGACCTTGAACAAATGTGTGATGGTATGTTTTGTTGCGAAATTTTTACTATTATGTGTCCCTGAAAGCAAAACAACTAGAATCGGATTCGTAAATTGAATAAATACCTGCAAACAACCTTCAAGCACATCACTGTTCTATTCTGCAAGGGAGCTGGTGAGTGTGTGTGTTGCCAGAATCTTGCTGGTGCAGAGTGTCTCAATAGTATCTTATCAGCGTCACGGAAGCAAAATAAGCGAGATCCGATAAACACGAACATGATTATATAAGGAGGAGTCGAGGCAGTGGGAGGTGTTACAAGAACATCTAGATGCTTGGGCCCCTACCATTTTTCTCCTAATCCTTCTGGTATCAGCTCTCGCGTCATACCCTTACCCCGACCTTACCCTTGTTATCCTTGTCATCCTCGCGTTCCCTTTCGCTCTCTACCTGTCGCTTCAGCAGAGCCAGTACATCTGGCCGGATCTGTTCGCTGATGAAGCATATCCATGCTCCATTCCACCACCTGACTGATCCTGTGGACAGTCCCCTTGCCCTTACCGTCTGGACGGTAACCTATGATATGATGCACGACGCATCCCCTTTACCCCTTTCCCTTTCTTGATCTATGACTCGGTGCGCAGTCGCACATGTTACTTATATTTAGCTCCGCAGCTGCACGATCGTACTCCTGCGTGTTTCACTTCTTATTTTGATCTTTGACTCACTTTCTTATCCGCACATTCAGGATTCACTCGTGTCTCACCTTGAATGTGCCTTCCTCTTATGGTTATCCCCTTTACCACTTACCTCTCTTGGTAGTACGAGTTATCACCCACTAATACGCTTCCTGTCCTCTATATAAACTCGCTACCATGCACTATATTCCCTAACTTGAATCTACTTGGTTCTTGACCTCCTACTCTCACCAGAGTGATCCTTTCTGCCTAGCCAGCAGTCTATATTCTATCTTCTTATCTGCTCCTCGCGGATAAGTCCTTAGTCTCGATCTTTACTCATCGACTTCGTCGATGAGCAAAGCCCCTGTTAACTAGTCGGACTTCTGTCCTTCTAATTAATGACGATCTTACGATTAACCTTCGGGTGTCGTAAGCCTTGGCTGATACAGCTCATCGTCTAGCACCCACTTGACGTAAGCTACCCGATTTGGACATAGGCGTCAAATCTTACTTGCCAAAGCCTCGCCAAGTAAGACCCCTAACCTTGGGCTAGCCCAAGGATGTCCTTGACCGTTGACGACACACGCTCTGTTTGAGCGTCGCCAACAGATACCATCCAAGTCGTAACAGGAGGAAGAGCAAGCAAAGGCAAAGTTGGAGAGACGATGCATGACACATGTCAAACTGAAGCTTGGGAGACTCGAGGCCCCACTCCCAAAGCCGGCACTCGCCCACATTGACGAGGAAGAGGATGAGTCAGATGATAGTGAGGAAGAAGATTAATCTGCGCAACTAGGGAATAAATCTGCCTTTTTGGGTGAGCTCAAATGATGGTGAACAACCGATAACACCAAGATTTACACACTTTTCATTGCAGAATAACATCTTGTTTGATGTTCTTCAAAATTTTGTTCGAAGTAGATTAGCTATCTATTGTGACATCCCCGAAAGCGATTTTTGAGATTGTGTCAGGTTGTGTTGTGGTAGACATCCGAAAATTTCGAACTCAAATGACGGTCAATGACTGTATTAATATTCAGCGGTTCTCTTAACGATGCTGAGACTCGCCTTCTATTTTCAATTGTTAACAGGAAACGCATCTTAGCACATGTATACTCTGGGGTTCACTAAACTTCATATGAAATGACTTTTTCCTACATAACAATTTGGCCCAGATCTGATACGATCTCCCATATTTCCGGGAAATTTCACGCAATATATAAAGAGCTGTAAGCATGGACCGATTTTTTTTTTCCTTATGTGCGTCCATCAATTCTGAAAAATAAGTCGCACATCAGTGTCAACGGCCATAGTCACTCCATGATGTTAAGGCAAAGATACGACGCACATAGCAGTACCAAAAAACGCTCTGCCATGCAGGTGAGTCGAGTTATCAGGTCCAGAAACATGCTGATACTCACGCATCCCACCGATGTGCAACGTTCAGTTGATTTGCAATCATGTTCATACCAGCAAGCTTTGTAACAGTGTTGAGAGCCGAAAGGGCTATCTGCAACACTAGTAGCTGGCATGGCAGAGATTGATGGTACTAAAGCAGCAATGATTGCGAGGACAGTTGCAGAGGAGAAACGCATTGTTTGCGACTCGTTTGTGTGAAATCAGGTAATTCTGAAGGGGATAGTAGGAAGATGGCTAGCTTTTATATTGTTTTCTGGACTTTCTGTTGCGCAGATGTGCCTTCGAATGTATACATATCTACGTGTTGCTATATTGTTGTTGCTGTTGTGGGCAGAACTGGCACTGCTGGCAGAATGTGACGCACATGTCAGGTTCAGACTGAAGTGCAGAAAGATCATGCTTCTCACCTGCGTTCAATATTTAATGACGACTTCCTTTTCACATGATATGACAAGACAACGCTTATAAGATCAAGTATTTCCGTAGTGATCTAAGACAAACGTGCCTAGCCATACGGGAATTCTCGTCGTTCGAATGAGCTGCAGTATGAATGCATATAACCGTGTACCGATGCGATTATGGCTAATTTCCTAATAAATTCAAACACACGGCAAAAGCATCAACCCACCTATCCGTATCGTGAAAGATCGACTATTCACCGTCCCCAAGGGCTTTCTCCAACTTGTTATACTGTACAGGAAGATCCTTGATATCGTTTACGTTCACAAACAGTGCTCCGCAGCTCCACGTGAGATTGGGGAAGGAAGGAACCCTTGTGAGTCGACCAACACATTTGCCGGTCACTGAGAATCTCGGTTTCCATGATAACAAAAATCTTGTGCGATCTTGAGCGACGTGTAGCGTGAGAGAATAGAGACTAAAACCTGCATTGAACCGGAGAAGTGATGCGGACTCGCACGATAGCAAAACACCAGATGCCGATGAAGGTCGAGATGAAGAATATGCGGATATTCTTAGGAGACCGGCCTTGGGCGCTTGATCTGCACAGCCCGCGTTCATGCTGTGAAGTAAACACAGGAATAGTATTAGTATGAAGGACTCACCTGCAACTCCGACAACGACCTCCCACCTGACTAGACTGTGCATGAAGTCCACTCTATCGGAGCTTTCATATAGTTCAAGTAAAACACAGGTGAGTAAGTGACACTATTTGTGCAGCTAGGAGCTGACATTGTCCCAGCACATCGTGTGAAGTCTCCAAGCAGATATCATGTCTTCCCCCGCACCTGAAATGCAAAGAGGATCAATGATAGAGCCTCGCCAAAGGATAGCAGGACAAACCCATGTTATCAATGGGATCATCCACTTGGCTGGTGAACAACGGATCATCAGCTGTTCGCTTGATGGCTCGATTCGAATGTGGGACTTGGAGAGTGGAATGCAGGTCGGGGAGGTTTGGGAGGACAAAGAGGGTGGGGGAGTGCTCTCCATAGCATTGTCGCCAGATGGTAAGAAACTAGCATGTGGGAGTGAGGATAGTGGAGTGAGACTGTGGGACATCGACGCGGGCAAGGTAGTCAAAAAATTCACGGGGCATACAAAGCGAGTTTTTTGTGTATGCTGGAGTCCAGATGGAGGGCGAATGGTTAGTGGATCCGGAGATGAAACATTCAGAGTGTGGGATGTCGAGGGCAGCGAGACGATATTGATACTCGTACCAAAAATGAAAGAGGAAGAGAACGACTTTATATGGGCGGTTTGCGGTTACTCACCCGATGGCGACATGATTGCGACAGGCGGGGATAACTATGGGCTAAAAATCTGGGACGCCGATACAGGCGAATTGCTCAAAACATTTGACGGAGCAGCATGGTGCCTGACATGGGCCTCGGATACAGTGATCACCGGCGGATTCCGTTGGATCAGGAAATTCGATATCCCCACCTGGACCGAAATGGCTGTTCTGGAACACAAATCAATTCAAGACAAACCTTTTAATGATGTTAACAACATTGCGCTATCTCCAAATGAGCGAATCCTCGCAAGCGTATCACACAACAAGACAGCGCAACTATGGGACTTTGCAAACAATCAGCCCGTCGGACCACTCCTCCACCATGACTCGGACGCCTCAGTGCGATGCGCGGCCTTTTCTGCAGATGGGAAATTACTCATGACTGGCTGCTGGCTATCGGAACGTGATCAGAAGACATACATATTCATATGGGATGTCTCAGCTATCGTCGTAGAAGCTGGTCGCGAAGACCTTCTATCAGATAAAGTGAGCTCCGATATATTTATTCACCAATCATGACGACGAGTTCACTCATACTCTTAGGACGTATGTTGCATCATTTCTCACCAAAACCTCGCATACTGATTCACTCATCACAGAATACCGTCAAAGAGCCTCTATTAGATGTATGTTGTACGTTTCTTACAATGGCTTCGCTTTGAACATCTACATGCTAGGCTGATGCTACCCGCCAAGGACGCCCGCTAATCAAAGATGCTCGTCGGATACCCCAGGGATTCTTTGATGATTCCCGACATGTATATGATTTTTTATCTATAATCGTAGAGTCCAGCTTGACACAAACACTAGGTCGCATCCCAAAGGAGACGTGATCGTCTCGCCTTATCATCACCACAACCTCTCCTTGGTCGCTTAACCTCCTTATGGCGCCGCTCCGAATCGCACGAGACAGCCGAGCGCAACACCATCTCTCGACCCCATCCTCTCAGCTGGTCTCGACACTTCGTCTCTGGCATATTACATAAACGAAACGAAACGGACACTGAGATACCTGTAGTCGAGGTTCCATGCACATGGGCCAAGCCGGTATATTTCTCACTTCTCGGTTCCTCTCCATCCTGACTCGTTTTAACTCAGAGGAACTATCACGCGATAAAGAAGCCATCTGCCAGCTCGTCTCGACGTTCTAATCCTCATACCACACATCAACATAGCACTGGTACTGCTGGGGCATCAGGAATACCCTCACGTCCTCATACCACAGGTGTTGGATGGTGCGCTCGTTTCGTGGGCTGTATTTGCTGCGCACCTGTCCAGAACGCAGACGGTCACCATTAGTCGAGTGACATTTTGGCTTATGTGTTTCATTCGTGTTTTTGCTGTTTCATCCATAGCTTATTCTTCATGACTCACTCTTCCGTCATCACATAGTTCCTCGTGTGTAATAGCGTATGGTACCAACATCCACCAGTCATACATGTATGCAAAGTTCGAACTTGATCCTGAATATGAATGAACCGTGCGTCAAGGTGCCAAAGACAAAGAATACGCTCAAGTCATGATTCAAACAGTAAATCTCCGTGAAATACTACTTACACCGTGCATTTAGCTTTGCGTATCGGTGATACCAGTAGAACAAGATTACTTGAACACTCCCTGGAAATGTGTATTACTTTAGATTAAATGGTCCGCAGGAGATCGTGGTGAGAGTCTTACCATGGTCTCTAAAAGCACAAGCAGAATGCGAGGCAAATGATTCTCTAACATATGGCGGCCAGCCACCAATGAACAAAAGACACCACTGCACCATTCTAATAGTTCGATGGTTGATGCTTACCCCATGCTGAGGAGTATAAAAGACGACAAGCAACACACGAAAGCATGATATGTACACTTACCCCTCAATACCATCCTACAATACTAAATTATATTCACAGAGGTCCCATCTCTTCCCGTGCCAGGATAAAGCTGACCTTGTTGATATCGTTGTTTTGTATTTGTGAATTCAAGATGAACTCTACAGATACGAAATAATGATAAAAATGAAAGTATCAGGCGTCGTAGCAAGAGTCCGCCAATAACGTTCATGACGGATGAGGGTCTTCTCATGAGCTTGGTGTTAGGGACTGCGAGCAGAGGGTAGGAAGGTGTAACCAGAATAGCAAATTGCAATCTGACCATAGGGCGACGAAGGACTCATGCAGGACGCTAAGAACGAAGGTCAGAGATAAAATGATTATGAGGATGTGAGGTAAGCGATGATATTCGTACGGCTTTGAAGAGAAGAGCTGGATTTCCTCCGCGTCCGATAGGTAAAATTCTCGAGGTAAAATCATGTCGTCCCTGCGAAGCAAAGAGTGCCTCACCAAAAGATCAAAGAATAAACTAATCGGTCATGCGCCTGTCTACCTGTTCCGATGGGTTGACTTACTTCCAATTTCAAGTTGGGACTTAGAGAATTCGGGGAGGCCTGGAAGGACGAAGGAAGCTGAAGGAAGTGGCTAACATAGAACTGTCAGGGCAAGGCGGTAGCAAGCAGGGAGTTTGGATTGTGTAGTGAGATTGTGGGACATCGAAGGTCATGAAGCGCACAAATTATGCTGTCTGTCTGCTGAAATACGGATAGTCCTCGAGTGGATCCTGGGATGTGACAACAAAAATACGGGAAGTCGAAGAGCAATAGGAACTACTGAGACAAAGAGCAGCTATTAAGGCGTGCGGACAGATAACTACTCACTTAATAGCAGAATATCAACAGATATTGAGCTGTTACAACAATCACTATGCCATATGGGCGAGGTCCGGGCCAAACCGCCTGCGTATGACATTGGGGGTTTCGACATTTTACCTCACTGCAAGATTTCAATCAAAGCAGATCTGGACCGCTAGAGCATTCCCTGGAGTTCAGATGGAGGGCGAGTGGTGAGTGGATGCGAAGATGGGACATTAGGGGACTTCAAAGCTGGATCTCGAGGCCGATTTGGAGGTGGATTTGGATGTAGATTTCGTTTTTCGAAAACGAAATCAGCTTTGGTGGATTTGGGATGGATTTCGGCTGGTCAAGCGGCAACATTCGGCAAGGTGAGTCGGACTCTGAAACACGCACAACGTGACTTACACGTCACGGTCTTGTTTACTGTACGACGCGACTAGATCCTCCTTTGCTGCCTATAGATCAATAGCCTATCCTGAACCATGACGAAACATAAACGACCGACATCGCAAACACCTATCAAATCTATCGTTTCGAAGCCCCGCAAGAAGAAGGTTACTCCTGTGCTAGCTGCACCTGACTTCAATTCGGACAAAGAAAATATTACTGATGCAGGTGAGACGGGCAATGAGAAGAGGCCTCGTGTTATGATTCCGTAAGTACATTGTCATGCTCATGCTCTTTTCTCATGTGCTTTAGTTGGTCAAAACCAGAAAATCACCACCTCACAGATCAACTGCTCACACTGATCGAAGACTCGGAACTGTGGAAGGCCGTTTTCGGTTTCGACAAGGGCACTTCTGGTTCTGTCGTCGCAACAGGCAAAGGCAAGAACACCTTGAAGCACTCTGCTGGCGCTCAATTTGAAAGAGCACGGTGTTTTCAAAACAGTTTTCAAGTTTCCTATGCTAACCGTCATGCTACGATAATTGGGATGCCAAGAGCGGAGAAATTTACTTCTCGATCGCGCTGCTGTCAACGTGTTCAAGTCTACGACAACGGCCATGCTGGCATTAGTTGTCAGTGAATGCGTGGTCGTTATATCGTGGTTCATCTGGGCAGCAAGAGAGCTAGATATCTTCAAGTGACTGTTTGAGCTCATATTATCCGCCAGAGGACACTTTGGGGTACGCTAAATTTCATATGAGATGACTTTTTCATACATAACAATGTGACCCAGATCTGCTACCATTTCCTATATTTCACGAAAATATCACTATTCCGATAAACAAAGAGCTGTAAGTGGACCGATTTTTTTTCTGACGCAACTTTACAAATCACTAGTCACTCGCGCGTCAGTGTCAACGGCCATATTCCACCGACGTGAAAGCACAAATACGACTCACTATACAGTAAAAAATGGACTGTCATTCAGGTGAGTGATATCATCAGGTTCAGGAACATGCTGATACTCACACATTGACGCAAAGAGCAGCTCTTCCTTTTGCATTGTGAGTTTTTAATGCAAGCCTTAGCACACTTTTCGCTATCATTAGTAGTGGGCATGGCCGAGATGGATGATATTAAAGCAGCAATGATGGTGAGGACAATTACAGAGGAGAAACGCATTGTTTGTGACTCGTATGTGGGGTCGGGTAATTCTGAAGGGGAAGTTAGGAAGACGACTGGCTTTTATATTGTTCTCTGGAATTACTGTTCCATGGATGCGCCTTCAAATCCAATTCATGCCAGCACAAAAGGTGTGCAAAAGGGAAACACCAGCACAAAGTCCACCACTAGATACGCTTTTAAACCTCCACTTGAGACCGTTCTGAGTTCTTCGATAGATATACACTTGTTCATGGCAGGGTGATGCATAACCGCGTTAACCGTAATTATTCAAGTAGTTCTCGTTGTCGCGTACTCGCGCTGTTCCCTTGAGATTTGTTTTTGCCTGTGCCTGTTCTTTGTCTGAATGAAAATGATCGAAGTTCATCGAACTGTCACCAGATATATTGGCGTTACAGTGCAGATAGTTTTGCCTTATAGTAGTTCTGCTGGCACTACATATTATCAATGTGTGACCAGTTTCCTCTCGACTGTACCAGCTGTCCAACTTCCCACAAATTATTATACGCTGATGAAGGAGCGGCTATTATGGCATGGCGTGTGGATAGATAATCATTTTTGCGTGTGACACTGGGTTTCACCTCTTCAATCAAAACCTGGCTAGAGCATTCCAGACCTAGCCTACAGCGCTCCAGAGCACTCTAAGATACCTTTCGAAGGTAATTTCACTGGCAAATGGTCAGTTCTGTGTGAGGTGAAAATGTTTTTTTTTCATTCAGGTGACCCAGATTAGTAGAGTTAATGCCCCTCTTTTCCACCATAGTCGATTTGATATGACCCCCTCCTATTCTGGAGCCCGTGCCCCACACAAGGCGCTTGTCTCTTTCCTATCAACTACGATAATCAGTACCGTTGAGACTAGACATGACGTCTGTGCTTGACACTACTGCCATTGGAAAGGTTCCACGCCGCCGCAGACATGTTAGGACCCTTACCGGTATGCCCAAATTGTCATATGTTTCCTCGATGAGATAGATAATGTATTTTAAACAGGATATCTGCCAGAAAAGGACTCCGAAGGCAAAGAAAAGTGGCCTAGATGCGAAGAGAAAGCCTAGAAGGATGGATTGAGAGGTCTTGACACAGGTACGTCATCAGATGAACCGTTTCGTGCATCGCTCAACAACCTCCCACTGCAGGCGTATCATCCATCACAAAGTCGATCATCAACCATGTCCAAACCTCCCTGGCTCGCCAACCACACGAGATCGACAATTTTGGAGCTTACCAGGCTGCAGCTCTATCTGTCCGTGATAATCTGATCGTATGCCCCGTTATCGCGTATCATTTCACTCATCTAACTCATCGTCGATGCGCAGATCAACTGGAACGAAACACAACTGCACTACTCTCGCACTGCAGGAAAGCGGTCACTTTTACTCACTCTGGCGGCGCTCAAAGTCACAGAGCGAAGCTGACCACCGTACTCAACCTCGGTCCCACCCTCTTAGCCGGACTCGAAACCTAGTATCCGGTATACTACGCAGACGAGATGCATCGGACATCCAGTTGCAAGAGGTCGAGGTCCCTTACACAGCGGGCAAGCCTGTGCGTTTTTTCTCCTTTACAATTCTTCTTTGTTTCTGACCCTCTTCGCCCAGAGGAATTATCACGCAAGAAAGAAGAAGTCCACTACCAGCTCATCTCGATCTTCTAATATTCATACCACACAGCAACCGAATGGAGCAGCACAAAGCACATCAACGTCATCACAGCTACCACCCCCAACTGCTACTGATGGGAACACCCTCGCGTCCTCACATCACGAGTGCTGGATGGTGCACTCGTTTCGTGGCCTGTATTTGCTGCGCATCTGTTCAGAACGCAGATGGCCACCATTAGGGAAGCGATACTTTGGCTCTTGTGTTTCGTTCGTGTTTTTCTTGTCTGTTATATCTATAGTTAAATATTCAAACTTAATGACTCTCCTGCCATCGTATAGTACTTCCTGACTATTTCAAAAGTGGGTGCTATGCAATAAATAGTTTATCGACTTGCGCAACGATATAGACACCTTTCGCTGCCCCGACGAACCTGTAACAATACAAACGCCAAGTGATGGGAATGATCGAAAGATGGCAACGACCCTGAGCAACTGAGACCTGTTGAAGTTGGGGTGTGGTATTACTCGCATCTGTAGCTAACCAGACGGTATATATACCAGGAACAGAATAAGACATAAGTTATGAAGCGACGTGCTGAATTGACGATACACAGGTACATTGTGATTCCAGCCTACTGCGCCATGACATTCTTGAAGTCTTTCCATCAAGTTGACATGCTAATCCGCTTACCGAGTCCACACTCTCCTCGAAGATCGTTCGCTAACAAAGCACGGGGTCGAGAGCTAAAGAAGGCTGGTTTAGGTCAGTAACAGTCAAAAGCCGGTGACAATCTACGCAGGTTTGTCTGCATTATAACATGCGCAAGGTAGAACACAGAACTTTGAACCGTGGTCTTGGCTATCTTAAAAATGAGTGAGCGCGCATTGAGATTCCGAAAACAAAGAACGCACAGAAATTCTGCATGAACATGGTTGAAACAGTAAATCTTCATGGAACATCACTTACATGCACCGTGTATCTAGTTTTGCGTATCGATGGCACCAGTGGAATGAAAGAAATTAGTTAATGAACATTCCCTGAAAATGTGTGATGATTCAATTTAAGCGCTTCGAAGGGGAGTATAGGAAGAGTCTTGTCATGGCCTTTAAAAGCACAAACGAAACACGAGGATGCATCTCTGAAGTGCGGCGACGAGCCATAGATGAACAGAAAACACTACACCATCCTGATAGTGCAATGATTGATCCTCATGCTGCGGAGTATACGAGATGACCAACAACGCACGAAGATAGAATATGCTCACTTACCCCTCAATACCATCCCCACAATACTAATTTCTATTCGCAGAGGTCCGATCTCCGCCTGCGCCGGCACATGATTGGCATTGTTGGCATTGTTGCTTTGCATCTGTAATTTTGACAAGATGCACAAATAATACAATGATGGTGGCAGGTATCGTGGTAATGATCCGCATGACGGATGCGGTTCGTTCCTGAGCTTGGTGTTAGGGACTGCGGGCGGACAGTAGGGAGATTGGAGATCGACAATGGGGCGACAAAGGAATCGTGTAGGAAGTTGAGCACAAAGGTCGGAGAGAAAACGAGAATGTATCAGTAAATTCCAACGGAAATAAAACATCAGGTTGATACGAAGACCACAATATCGGATTGGGGCAGTGGAATGAAATGGAACAGATTAGCAGGGCGACCAGACATGATACCAAGTGAGTGAATACAGGTGAATGAACATATTATTGTTGTGAAAGAGAATCCGACACGGTCTGTACAGCATCGAACTTCTAGATGACATGGATAAAGCCACCTTCACTATTCGACTCCAGATCGAACAAAGGATGGTCAGATCGTGTAATAGTGTGACGATGAATGTGAAAAACTCAGCTTGGACGCTGAGAACAAAGGGCAGGAAGAATGTGTCGAGTTGGACTTCCACAGAAATATGGCGCGAGGACAGATGCGGAGACTGCAGAATCGTACACATTAGACTGCTGGAGAAACACAGGGATGCGGGCTGGCAGGATAGGATGGTCGCGATGTCGAGGACAATGCAGATAAAGGAAGCAGGTAGTTGGTCCGAAATCATGATGTTGGGCGCTTGATGTGCACAGCCAGTGCTTATGCTGTGAGCAAACACGAGGATAAAACGAGGAAGATGTGTCAGTAGAAGGCTTCTACGACAACTCCCCTCCTGACTTGAGTCCGCATCTAACGAAACACCCACATCGTCACAGCGTTCATCCCGTATTCATCTTTCTGTACACAAGTCAAGGACATCTAGATTCTGAGTAAGTGATAGATTCTATGGTAGGAGCTAAAATTATGACGTACCCATTAAGTGAATACCGAAACCAAAATTATATCGCATCCACCTCCTGCAAAGCATGAGAATTCAGCAACAATGCCTTACCGAAAGATCAAAGTACATGACGTCTATCGCACGCTACACCTGCCCGGTGGACAGCGGGTCATCTGCTATTCATCGGATGGGGCATTTCGAGTCTGGGACTTGGAGACAGGCACGCAGGTTGAGGAATGGGAAGACAAAGATCAAGTAGAGGATGGCATGGTATCGTCGCCGAGCGGTGAGATGTTAGCAACTGGAGATTTGAATGGCGCAGTGAAATTGTGGAACGTCGACACAGGCAAGATCATCAAAACATTGACGGGGCACACAGGTCAATTGCGTTCTATGTCCTGGAGTTCAGATGGAGGCCGGGTGGTGTGTGGATCCTGGGATTGCATATTCAGAGTATGGGATGTCAAGAGCGGAGAAACTATCCTGGGACCAATCAACGCAGGGTTATATATCTGGGCGGTTTGTTACTCACCCGATGGCAAGACGATTGCCACAACGTTAACGGGAGGCAAACTGAAAATCTGGGATGCCAACTCGGGCGAACTGCTCAAAACACTGGATGGTGATTTTAGGTGCCTGGCATGGACCTCAAATGGAAAAATACTCATCACCAGCGGATCCAGAATCACTAAATTCGACACAGCCACCTGGTCAGACGTCCACACAATTGTCCACTATTTCACTATCTCCCAATGAGCGCATTCTCGCAGGTACACCACAGGTACTGGGCAATACAGCATATTTATGGAACCTCGAAACCGATCAACTTATCAAAACACTACATCACCTTACAACATTCACGTACTTTATTCGGCCTACCTTTTCTGCAGATGGAAAGTTCCTTGTCACTAGCTGCAGAGACGGCTACCTATACAGATGGGATCTTTCCGCTATCGTCAAAGAGGCTGGCCTTCCATTAGAAATTGTAAGCTCAGATACATCTCCTTCTAAATGACGCTGACAACAGCTCCCTAAGCTTGATGCTACACCGCGACCAGCTCCAAAGTCAAAAGGTGCTCCTCGAATACCCCCAGGGTTCTTTGACGATGACCTACGAAAGGCTAATGTATGTAATCTCCATCTATTACTCAGTGCTTTGACTTGATATGTTCTCAGGAGCGCATTCGTCTATCCCAATCCCATGGACCATATCATCACCCCACTCCAGCACCACGTCGACGCACCCTTGATCGCGTTTACTCACTCTGGCGGCGCTCAAAGTCACAGAGCGAAGCTGACCACCGTACTCGACCTCAGTCCCACCCTCTTAGCTGGACTCGTAACCTTGGTATACTACGCAGACGAGATGCGTCAGACATTGAGTTGCAAGAGGTCGAGGTCCCTTACACAGCGGGCAAGCCTGTGCGTTTTTTCTCCTTCACAATTCTTCGTTGTTGTTCATCCTCTTTGCTCAGAGGAACTACCACGCAAGAAAGAAGAAGAAGCCAGTTACCGACTCATCTCGACATTCTAATATTCATACCACGCAGCAACCGAATGGAGCAGCACAAAGCACATCAACGTCATCACAGTTACCACCCCCAACTGCTACTGCCGGGGTAATGGGAACACCCTCGCGTCCTCATATCACGCGTGCTGGATGGTGCACTCGCTTCGTGGCCTGGATTTGCTGCGCATCTATTCAGAACGCAGACGGTCACCATTAGTGGAGCGACATTTTGGTTCTGTATTTCATTCCTGTTTTGATGTCTCATTTGTAGTTAATTTATCATGACCACCAAATCTTCTGCTCTCCCCCACTGCCAGCAGAAATATGACGATGTCGCACACCATAAGTTTATTTGAAAGTGGGACTCGTGGTAACGTATTCTACAGCCACTCTCATGTCGATGGATAGATTTCACCCAGCTCATTTACTTGTAGAGCAGGAGAAACAGAAGCACGTACCCATTTCACTTGCTTGCTTGTGCGATTGAAAACACGGAAACACAGACTTGCTTGGAAGCGCTCTGCATAGGGCAATACTTTTTCATGAAGAACATGGCAACTAGCGAGGAAACTGACATTTTACCACCTTCTGTTTGCAAGAGCTAAAACGATGGAACACACTAGAGATAACGTCAAGATTAAGTATTTTTGAGGTGCTATGCAAGGAAAGACTATGGGGCTATCAATTTGCGCAGCAACACGGAGATTTTTCGCTCCTTGATGAACCTGTCACAATACAAACATCATCACACCTGCGAACAACCGATGCCAGGTCATCGAAGACTTGGTGCTGTTGATCGTGAGTGGGTAGTCCTACAAATTCGAGGGAGAGGTGGCTGCCATTAGTCCAGCATCGATAACCAGTGAAAAGAGCTTCTCATCGAAAAGCATGCCTCGTCATACTGAGCTGGAAGTCTCCCTGACACACAACAGTTAGCATAGAAGACCTATACGGTGACCTTCATAAGTACGTCTTTAGTTTTGAGCCTTTAATGGACCGTCAGTACAAGGAACCAGTGGCGGGATGATCGGACTGAGATCTCTTGAAGCTGTAGTTCGGCACTACCCATCTCTGTAGCTACCGGATGGTGGACTAGGAACAGAACAAGAAATGAGATGCTAAATTGATAATACGCACATCCTTTAGAAGCACAAATAGGGCGCAAGGCGGATGATACTCTAAAGTACAACGATGAGCCATCGGCATCGATGAACAGAAAATGACACGCCATCCTAACAGTGCGATGGCTGGTGCTCACCACATGCCGCGGAGAATGTAAGGCAACCAACAACACATGAAAGCACAATATGCGCACTTACCCCTTGGTCATCCTCGCAGAGGTCCTATCTGCCCGTGCCAGCACAGGGCTAGCTTTGTTGATTCGTTAATTTTCATTTGTAAATTTGGGACTAAATAAACAGATAATACAATCAATTTGCTAGGCGTCGTGGTAGGGACAGTATGGTCGCGATGTCGAGGACAATGAAGATGAAGGAAGCGGGTATTTGATCCGAAATTATGGCGTTGGGCGCTTAATCTGCACAGCCAGTGCTGATGCTGTGAGCCAACACGAGGATAAAACGAGGAAGACGCGCCAGCAGAAGACTTCAACGACGACTCCACTCCTGACTTGAATCTCGATCGAACAAAACACTCACATCGTCGCAGCTTTTGTCCCATATTCATCTTTCTGTGCACGAGTCAAGGAAATCTGGATTCTGCCAGTGAGTAAGTGATAGATTCATGTGGTAAGAGCTGAAATTATGACGCACCCGTGAAGTGAATCCCGAAACCAAAATCATGTCGCATCGACCTCCTGCGAAGCACGAGAATTCAGTGACAATGCCTTACCGAAAGACCAGAGTGAATGATGGTATCAGGTACATCCTACACCTGCCCGGTGGACAGCAGATTATCTGCTATTCATGTGATGGGACGTTTCGAGTCTGGGACTTGGAGACGGGCACGCAGGTCAAGGAATGGGAGGACATAAAATATCAAGTGTTCTCTACAGCATTGTCGCCGGGCAGCAAGACAGTAGCAACCGGGCATGGGGATGGCGTAGTGAAATTGTGGGACGTCGACACAGGCAAGGTCATCAAAACATTGACGGGGCACGCCGTGACAAAGAGAGTGCATGCTGTGTGCTGGAGTCCAGATGGAGAGCGAGTGGCGGGCGGATTCGAAGGTGCGGTGTTGAGAGTGTGGGACGTCAAGAGCGGAGAAACTGTACTTGGGCCAATCAACGCAGCCTCCGGAGATCCAAACGGTGCTGACATGTACGAGGTTGGCTACTCACCTGATGGCAAGATGATTGCCACGGCCGTGTTCACATCGTGGCTGAAAATATGGGATGCCAACACAGGCGAATTTCTCAAATTGCTCGTGGTTTTTTCTCGTATAGCTACGTGCTTAGCATGGACCTCGGATGGCAAAACACTTTTCTCCGGGGGATGGCGTAATATCACGAAATTCAACCTAGCCACCAGGTGGTCACGAATAGCTGTCATTGATGTGAACTGGGAGGTGAAAAACTTCACAGGTTGTGTCGGTACAATTTCGCTCTCTCCCAATCAGCGCATTCTCGCAGGTACACCATTCCTGGGTAGGACAGTGCAACTGTGGAACGTTGAAACCAATCAACCCATCGGGCCACTTCTTCGGCCTGAAGGTGATGGCGCGGTCTTTCAATCCACTACCTTTTCTGCAGATGGAAAGTTCCTTGTCACTAGCTGCGAAGACTACCTATACACATGGGATCTTTCTGCTATCGTCAAAGAAGCTGGCCTTCCATTAGATATTGTAAGCTTAGATATATCTCATTCTAAATGACGCTGACAACGGCGCCCTCAGCTTGATACTACACCGCGACCAGCTCCAAAGTCAAAAGATGTTCCTCGAATACCCCGAGGGTTTTTTGACGATGACCTACGAAGGGCTAATGTATGTAATCTCCATCTATTATTCAATGCTTTGACTGATACGTTCTTAGTCGCGCATTCGTCTATCCCAATCCCATCGGCCATATCACCTCACTCCAGCACCTCGTCAACGCACCCTCGATCGCTTTTACTCATTCTGGCACCGCCCAAAGTCACAGAGCAAATCTGACTACCATACTCGACCTCGGTCCCACCTTCTTAGCCGGACTCGAAACCTAGTATCTGGTATACTAGGCAGACGAGATAGCTCGGACTTCGAGGTGCAAGAGGTCGAGGTCCCTTGCACAGCGGGAAAGCCGGTGCGTTTTTTCTCTTTTACGATTCTATCGCTGATTTATTTTCGCGCAGAGAAACTATCATGCTAGAAAGAAGCCAGCTCGCAGCTCGTCTCGACCTCCCAAAGTCCAAGTCACTCAAAGACCTAGCGCGTCATCACAACTGCCACCTCCAACTGCCACTGCCTCGACACTTTCTGCTGTCAATGATACCACCGGAGCATCGGGAATACCCTCACGTCCTCATATCACCGGTGGTGGATGGCGCGTTCGTTTTGTGAGCTGGGTTTGCTGCATACCTATTCATGACACAGACGGTCACCGTTAGCGAAGCGACATTTTGATTTCCGTGTTTCATTCGTATTTTGCTGCCTCATCTGTAGTGAATTCCATTGACTCTTCTGCCTTCATCGCATAGTACGGGTGGAGGCTGGGAAGGTGTGACCAGGATAGCAGGTAATTACTATTTGCCTAAAAAAACTTGTGCAGGACGTTGAGCACGAACTTCCATCGGCAAGAAAATGAAGCATTTCTCAAGAGTAACATGTCTGCAGTTGAAGCCTGGACAAGTTGGTTGAGGGTGGTCGTGTGAGAAATAGGGATTCAAAACTTTGACGGGCGATCATTCGCTTTCGATGAGTGGCTGTCTAGCTTCAAGCTGTAAAGGTTGCTTACTGACCATGCTCCATGTGCATGAATGCTGTATCGTCCCATCGACGACATCACCCACCACCGACAGGCTCCTATTTTCTTTTTGCTCTTGTATCAATCATCATTCCCCATCGAACTCGTCGCCAGCCTTACGACAAGATGGTTTTATAATCGCTGATCGTTCTTATTCTAGTCTTTCATGTTTATGGCTGGATCGAAGATGATGTACTGTGTGGTCAAAAAATTTCAGATCACAAGCCCGCGTTCTCTTCATACCAGGACCAAAAAGTGCTCAAATAATTAATTCACTGTGTGGCGTTGCCTCTATCTTTATCTCGATTACCGGCGAACTGCACACAAATCGATCAACAATAGCATCAACGAGAAAGCAGGGACATAACACACCAGTGTGTTGCTACGCGAAAATTAATGGCCTCCTTCAGCGGCAGCGTTATAGCAGATTTTAGCACCAGTCGGCTTATATCACAAGACGCAGAGGGTGTGTCATCAGGTGAAAGCTTGATACCGCAACGCAAAATACTACTACTTACGATGAGAATGCAGGTGTCATTTTTATTGCAGCAGTCGCTGCTCTGGTTGCAACTCGCTCCTTCTGGCTGACACGAAGGCCAGCAGATTTGAGCACCAGTCGGCTGATATCACGAGACGAAAAAGATGTGTCATCAGGTGAAAGCTTGATGCCGCAACGTCAAATACTACTGCTTACGATGAGAATGCAGTCATCCTTTTTATTGCAGCAGTCACTGGCGTGGGTGCAACTCGCTCCTTCTGGCTGACACGCACTGACAGACATTATAGATGTCAGCGCAACAATAACGGTGAGTGAAGAGAAGCGCATTGTTCGTGCGAGGTTATGAAATGCTGAGGTGCTTTTGGGGTGAAGTGAACGGTAGGAAGATGACTTGCTCTTAAGCTCGTGAAAATAACCCTTCGTTTTTAGTTCATCATGGTTTAGGCAGAACTTGTCCCTTCCGGTCATTACGTGAGAAGTTGAGCTGGTAACTCCGGATCACTGCCAGCAGAAATATAACGGCGTCGTATATCACAATTTACTGGTCCATGGTAACGTAGCCCGTGGCTACTCCCGCGTTGATGAACAAATTTTCACTCTCCTCATTTACTTGTGGAGCTGGAAAAACAGACCCACACACCTGCTTCACTTATTTGTTTATGCAATTGAAAAAAAAAAGAAAGCCCACACCTGCTATCGAGTGTTTGTACGAGGCTCATGCATGTTGTCAATATCCTGACACTGGCCTAAATACAGTGTAAAAGAATGAAGGACCGTATTGAACTAGGAAGGGATAACGGAATGCGTACCGATCTGGAAACGAGTGAATAGACAAAGACTCGGAAAATGTCATCAGGATGGTGAGATTGCGAGTTAGGCAGCTAGTAGGGAGACGAAGCAGAAGAAAAGCTCACGTAGCAGGTTGAGAACAAAGGTCGGAGGGAGGAGCAGGATGAATAAATCCAGTTCGACTCGAATTGATTTCAATCTCTATCTCCGGCAGGGCCACTGGTGGAAGTGAGGAAACTATTCTTCAGGGATCAACGATATGACCACGGTTTGCTACTCTCCAAATGTGCTAAAAATCTGGAATTGGTGACCTCGAATGGAAATATTACTGCTTGATCGCCGGGTTGCGGGGCGCATGTTCAAAAATAGCTGTCATTCAACCTCTTAGGTAAATCACTATAGGGGCGAAGATAGTACGATTATGCATATGTACCCCCAGCTTTGCATGAACATGACACATCGTCACAGCCACTGCCTCATATCACTATATATAAGAGGGAAACGATATTTTCGTTTCGTGTTCCATCCATCTTTGTTGTGTCCAATATAGCACGCGCTTGTAGTACTACTGTTAAATCGTGTCTTGGACCAATATTTCGTCAGTTTGGCCAATGCATGAAGTCATAAATGGGATCCGTTCCTTAATTCTAACCAATTGATGTGTGCCTTCTAGCTATGAATCGTCGAGCTCATCTTCTTCTTCGCTGCCCTCCATCATATCCTCATTTACCATGTCTACGACTGCATTGATGGTCGCTCTAGACATCTTAGGCATAGCGCCCGGCCGCAAGAGAGGATGATGTGCTTCTTGGAGTTCTTCTTCAGATTCCTCCCCACTTTCTTCGACGTTGGCATCGCTTCCACGGTTCTCTTCCTCATCCGAACCGTCATCAGGTTGGCTACCACTCCCGATGTCGCTCACTTCTGAATCTGAGGAGCTGCTATTATCAATATCTTCCGACGATGCAATCTCGTAGTCGTCGTCATCCGAGTCCGAGTCATCCCACGCGGGACCGTTGGTAGCAGTGTTACCGCCAATAGGTGGTTCCTCCACAGCCGCTGCCTTCTTACCACTTGTGGCTTTGGAGGGAGATGAAGCAGAACCTTTGCCAAATAGGTGTTTCCGCTGCCTCGCCCATGCATTGATGGGGTCTTGCTCTCGACCGTCCACCATAGAGAACTCCGTCTCGATAATGTCTCCCTCTACATCCTCTTTGTCTCCTTCTTTGCTGTTGTGGTCTTCAGCAGACGGCGATATCTTTCTCCCTAGGATGACAGAACACGTGCGGCCCGTGGCACTGATCAAGCGAACACCATCCTTTGGGATGAGATCACTAACGGCCCAGAACTCGCATGGTTTGCTCTCTCCCCAGAGAATTCCTGAATCGAAAAACCAAAGAGTTCCAGGTTTGGCGGCAAAATAGGCATCGACACCCGCTGCACAGTGTCCTGATTTAGGAGTGGCACACGCGCTACGAAATATAGTCGCTGAGGCCTCGAGAAGAGAAATAGGAAGATGCGTCAGAAACTCGCGTAGGACGAAGAGGGTCTCTTCTCCTTTTGCAACCGTTGACGTAGATGGAGTGGAGGAGTCGGAGTAGGAGGTAGTATCGAATTTAGAGGCGCTTATAGCGTCAAGTCCAAATATTATTTGGTGTGGGTTAGAAGTTGTGGCCTTACCCTTTTCAGGTACATCGCTGGAAAGCATGACAACTGTCCAGTGCTGCTTTGCTTTTCCACGCGTTGGTACCAAGAATGCTCGTAAAATACTAGAGAGAGGTATCGAAGCTTCCACTGCACGAGATGAAGGATTTACAAAGCGTATCGTTTTCTCGTGAATTGTGATGTCAACTTTCTTTCGAACAGGCGAGGTTGTAGATATCGAAGGAAGTGTAAAAATGGGCCGATCGTCCTCAAGTACATCAGTAGTTTTTTGGCGCTTAGAATTTGACCCGCCGCCTTCTTCATCAGTGCTGGCTGCTCGCCCGCGTTTTGTACCTTTCTGCACAGCCAAGTCTTGAATCGCCCTCATGGCGGCAGGTTGATCTCGTGCCCATCCTAGTTGGCCGAGGGCCGACATGTCTGTGGGACATTCACCACCAGATGCAAATGCAAGCAGCATATCCACAGCAGAGCGGGCTTGCTCGGAACTCAACGAGTCTATGATGGATGAACATTCCGCTGGAAAGTGTGTGGACAATGCATCCAAGTATGGGGTGCTCGAACTCATCGTGGAATCCTTAGCCAGCTATATAGATGATACATATTAGCGATCATTACCTGCTAGATGTTAATTCCTACCTGGGATGTACCACAAAGTCACGAAGCTACTACGCAGATTCCAGTCACAACTTGTTTAAGCGACTTTCAGTCAGTTTCCTCATCGTGGGTTCCAGTCACGTGATTGCGCGCGTCAAATAAGGCCAAAAATAGAATTCACGTTCTCATTCAACAACACCGAATTGCCTACCCTAAACAAAGACGCGACTCTACCTCTTACTGCCATCATAACACCCTTCGCGTTCCTGTTGATTTCATTTCTCACATTCGCTGATTACTGCTAGCTCGTTATTTTACCTCAAATAGTCCGAGTGATCACACCCCTCGAAATCTCCTTGCTACATCAACGTGTTTGTACTTTCCGGTAAGTTGTCCATCTTTCGTTGCAGCCCTGCCGTAATCTTGGTTGACTACCCGTAGTGTATATAAGATCTTTCTCGAGTCAAACACAACACTTTGTCACTGATGGCACCCAAATCTACCGGAGGGAAGTCGAAGTCTGGCGCGCCCACTCAAGGAGCAGGAGGGGTTGCAGGGTCCGGTGCCACCACGACACCAAGAACGATACAAACTCGCAGTCAGAAAGCTGGCCTCCAGGTCCGTTTTGAGTGTATCTGGAATCCATTGATTGATTTTTCTAATATAACCCCTTTTATTTTATCCTCCTTTTAGTTTCCCGTTGGTCGTATCCACCGTTACTTGAAACAGCGCACGCAGCACAATGTGCGTATTGGAGCGAAGGCCGCTGTCTATACTAGTGCAATATTGGAGTATCTCACTGCTGAAGTACTTGAACTTGCTGGTGAGTGGGTCAGTCCGGATTGAAGACGCTTGTTCTTACATCCGTTGTCAGGAAATGCATCAAAGGACTTGCGCGTCAAACGTATAACACCCCGGCATTTACAACTTGCCATTCGAGGAGATGAAGAACTCGATATCCTTGTTCGTGCAACAATCGCCGGAGGAGGTGTATTGCCATTTATCCACAAGAGTTTGACAGCTGCTTCAGGCAAGAAGAAGCTCGAGGGACAACAGCAGTAGTGGTTGTTGGGATTTTATAGCAGGTGTTGACTTTATATATTCATGTGAGCGCAGCGATCAGCTGTACTAACTTTATTTTGTTTCTGGCTGTTGTTACTTGCATCTGTAGTTTTGTATGAAATGCATTTACGAGACTTTGATTGTTTGGGCTGTTAGTGACTGCATTCCTCTAGTCACACAACGTGTTGGTTGCGACTGTATAATGCTGCAACTTGACCGTACACAGGATAATGTCCAGCTAGTTTACTCGTCATTCAACGATCACAATGCCTCAATCATGAGCTACTCGCGCGTTTCCCAAGACAACCGCTTTCCCACCTGCCTCCCTCAACTCCCCTTTCTCCATGCTCATGCAGTTCCTCGTATACTTGCCAACGACCTATAAAGGAAATCAGCTGATTGTTGATAGCACGTGAAAGGCACAAGACCTGCATTGCCCTCGGACAGGTTGAGCTGCCCACCAATCGAGACTCCACCTGCAAGCACATGTCACTGGCTGGCTATCGCGATGATTGAATGGCTAATACCTTCTGGTGTAGGCTGAACGAGCGGGTGCCCACTGGTGAAAGCAGTGTTACCACAAGCGTTCTCGCTCTCACATGAGCCCAGACCTGTGCGCCCGGCAAACTGGTGTTAGTATCGTTTTGTAAGCTTAGACATGTCGACTGTTGACTAGATCCCGATGGCGAGGTTGGTTGTAATTGGGCGGCGATTCATGTTTAGTTGAACAGAGGAGTTCAACTTAATCTTAGTGTACAATCTTGAAATTCTGTTCGCCCGAGGACGGCTTAGTACCGTATTTTGTCATTTTCTCCGCTGTCTTTAGAGCAATGACGAAGAGTAAACTGCGTTCGCGGTCTCTCTTTCCTCATTCGTAGTTAAAAACAACGTCCGAATATCGCGATGATTCCGCACTCTGGAGCTGTGTATGGTCGACCATGTGTGAATGCGTCCGTGCGAAGGCCATGAAGGGCATCGCATATGCAGGTCGCAATGGAAACTATTTCCGGTTGACCGTCCAACTTGAGCGCGCGGGATTAAAGGAGAAAGTGATGCGAGGGAGACAATGCCAATGAACCTCGCCTGTGTAGAATCTAAGCTGATCACGAGCAAGTTGACGGTCCTGCAACACGCTTGCTTTGATGTAGAGTAGCGATTCGCCCGCGCGCGTTTCCTACTAACCCCTTCTCCACCGACATATTTCGTTGCACTGCGCATATTGCGTTCACTTTGAGGTCAAGCCGATGCGAAGAGGATTCGGATGAGTAAGCTGCATAGCGAGGTAATCAGCTGGAATTTGTCCGGGAGCTGGCGCTTGATTAGTAACTCTTAAGTCTTCATGTCACATATCAACAAACAAACAACAATAATAACCACTAGTGGTGTGGATCGGGGAAAATTGTAGCTATCATGTACAGTACTTAAGGATACTTATGTCCTGCACCTTGGCGCAATTTTTTCCACCCCAAAAATATGTTTGGTGTGTCTCCGTGTGCCGATTTACGTCAATATTGCAGACAACAAAAGTACCTCTGAATCTCAAGTGCTTTATGTATACATAAAACACGTATGTACTGGATCCCTGCCTTTCCACAGCTTAGTCAGTAAGTAGCTTTATTCGTCAAGTATTCGTCGTAGTCCGAGTCTAGCATATATCATCATCCAAGCTATCCAAGCTCATCATATCGTAGTCCAGCCTGAGGCTCAAGCCACTGGCGACCACCCTAGTGGTGTGCCATGAGACTTCAGAAAGTTTTAGCATTTCACGAGGTACGCTTTTTCTGGCAGGAGCCCGTTTTTTACTGCACAGTGACAGCCGCGCCCACGTGTGGGGTACGTTTTCTAATTGTTAATAGCACGCATTTCTCGATTGCGGTTATGTATCCCCGTATTTCCATCTACATTCCCGCCGGTAACAGGTTCTTCGTTGACTACGACGAGCGCTCGCTGGTCATCCAACGCCAAGACGCGCTTAGTCAACCTCAGTACCCACTTTTATTAAAAGTACAGCACCCAAGCTGACCTAATATAGCCACACAGGGTTATCGAGTCGCGAACGATGCACTTGTGCACTGGTCAGATAGTGCACGTACAAAAATAACTGTATCCGATTGCAATCGCATGTCTCTTTCCCACTTCCCCTTCATGTACATTGTGTGCGAGCGACTTGGTCTATGACTCGTTCAACATCTCGCTCATCCTCGCGGACTAAGCCTAAACCCTCAGCATGTGGACTACACGTCAATATAGATGATGCGGAAACGCTACTCCCTCAGCCGGTGCGCGGAGGTCTACGGCGTGGCCTATCTGCACGTCAAGTACAAATGATTGCAATCAGTGGTACCATTGGAACTGGACTCTTCCTGGGAACCGGAAAATCTCTTGCCCAAGGTGGTCCTGCGAGCATCCTGATTTGCTATGCCATAGTAGGATTCATTGTATATGTGACGCTGTTGCTGTTAGGGGAGATAGGCCACACAGTACCCAGTGGCTGGTGTGTCACCTCTTTTTCATATTTAGGCAGCGCCCTGATCATTTGTATCTTTCAAAGGGTCGTTTAACGCATATGCAACACGCTTTTTTTCACCATCTTACGGTTTTGCCCTATCGTGGAGCTATTGGTTCAACGAGGCAGTATCTGTCACCTCTGATCTCACTGCCGCCCAACTGGTGTTACAATTCTGGACGCCGTCATATCCTTGGCTGGTCAGCCTGCTCTTTTGGGTGTTCCTTATATTACTTAACTCCTTTCACGTCAAAGCTTACGGAGAAGTGGGTCAGTAGCATATATTTCCGTTCTCTTTTTAAAATGGGATTTAAGCCTTGCGGTAGAGTATTGGCTTTCATTCCTGAAGGTCGCCACCGTCGTGATCTTCATCATCCTTGGCATCCTTGTCAATGTAGGTGTCAATCAGTCACATACCTACATCGGAGCACACAATTGGCTCATTCCTGGCGCTCCGTTCATTGGTGGCTTTGGTGGTTTCGCCAAGGTTTTCGTGACAGCTAGTTTCGCATGTGAGTTACATTAGTAATTGTGAATATATCCACCTGATCAGTTGTGTAGATGGTGGAACAGAAAGTCTAGGTATCACCGCAGGAGAGACAGAGAACCCTTCGAAGAACATGCCAAAGGTTGTCAAGTCTGTGTTCTGGAGGCAAGTAAAGCATTCGGACTTCATAGATCATTGATGTGCGAGCTGTGAGGTTAGGATTCTGATATTTTATATCCTGAGCATCCTGCTCATCGGCCTGAATGGTGGGCTGCTCCTTGCTCACACACTGCTACACACCTAACTGTTTTGATTAGTGCCATGGGATTACCCGAATCTATCAAATAAAACGACCACTACATCCCCTTTTACGATTGTATTTACTCTAGCTGGTTCAAGTGCGCAGATCTTCCTCGCCCTTGGTCCAAGTGCTAATGCTATTTTGAACAGCTGTAGCCGGGTCATTTATGAATACCGTCATTCTTACCTCTGTATTATCTGCCGGTAATCACGCCCTTTTTGCGGGGACCAGAGTTCTCTATGGCCTATCTGTTGTTAGCCCCACCCCCCACGCACCTCGTATATTTTCTCGGACCACTCGGGCAGGTGTTCCTTTGTACGCGCTGCTTGCGACCAGTAGCATTAGCGTGCTCTGTCTAGGCAGTAGTTCTATCGGCAGTGGCCAGCTGTGGGGATGGTTGCAAAACATTGTTGGAGTCTCAACCCAGGTCAGTATTAATACGCGAATGTGTGGCAACTCTAGACTAAGAAAAATTAGATTGCCTGGTTATCAATTGGATTGGCCAGTTGGAGATTCAGGAAAGCCTGGATCAGACAAGGTCGATCTTTAGATGAAATGAAGTTTCGGGCATCATGGACGTGGCCATGGGGTCCTTACTTTGTTGTGCGTGTGTCAATACTGCTAGCTGCATGTTCCCTAACCCATGCGACCTCCCAGATTATCGCAGTGACCTCCCTCATCTTGAGTGCGTACTGCACTACTGTTTCTGCATACTGAGTACTGACGAACTGAAAAGTCCAAGGATGGTCGTCTATATTCCCCACATTCTCACCAGTGGATTTTGTTTCCTTATACATCGAGATACCCATCATGGTTATCATGGGCCTCTGCTGGGTCCTGGCTAAGAACACCTTCATAGACTCTATACCAGTTCCAGGTAACGCCGATCACCCTAATGAGACGACCACTCTGATACCCCGCAACGCTGGAACCCAAGAAGCTCATTCTAAGTGGAGGTCCGATATTGTGGATATTCAAACCGTTGATCTGTATAGTGACGAATATGCCGACGAACCATTAGATGAAGTAAAGGATGAACCAAAGGGAAAGAGGTTCAGTTTTTTTTGGAGGTTGTATGACATGCTGGCTTAGATTTCGCGTTTGTTATCAAGTCTTCCTCCTGGATACTGAGATTATACACTTGTTCTAGTTCCACATCTCCCCGTGTGTCATGTTCCTCATAATCATCACATATTGTATCCTATCTAGTTGTATTGTTTAACATGATATGAAGCACTATCTCACGAAAGCTCAAATGAACAGAAGTACTCAAGGAAGAGAAGACTGTTTACATGCTGACAATGAATAGCACATACTTTCCCACACATGTAAAACATGACATCGCCATCCACAGCACTTATCTCAAAGTCCAGAAGCCTGAGCGTGTAGTCCTAGTATTATAACATTGTATTCTACCTGCTCCAAGTCTCAGATCTCAGATATCAAATATATGTCTTATTAGCGCCCCAGAATACCATTCTCCTCACATCACCCCTATGTTCATTACATAGAACACCTGGCCTTCTGAGGCCATAGAACTGTGTCCGGCTCATCTTTTTGGCCGCAGAAATACGAGATGGGATTCATGCTGCCATCATCAATCAACCCAGTCGCACCCAGCCATGGCTTCTCGCAGCTGCCAAAGCCCGAACATGTATTGGTGGGCTATATTTATACATACTCAAAGCCACATCGAACGGAGCAAGACTACGCACTGAGCCTTGAGCTTGATGGCCCCAATGAACCTTGAGTTTGCAATTTCAGTTGTTTTTTCAAAACATGGACAAATTTGGTACGAGTTTCGGAGAAAACACCATACTTGAATCCGTAACGATGGACATAACATACTCTTCCTCTGGGAGAGACTAGATCGCTGGTCCAGGTATAATGTTCTTCGAATTCGTCGAAGGCTATGCGGGAGCGGATCGGGTGAAGTCATCGTTGGTTCCGTTAGGCAGAAGCTACATCGATACACCCGGTGGTCGTCAGTACTACAAGTCAGTCTGGTACCCATGCGAGAATACAGATTGAAGGAAAGTTTAGTATTCGTGCTGCGTGAAAAATTACAACATTTTGAAGAAAATAATCGAAGCAACAAATACAACTCATTCTACACCGAATCCCTCCGTTTCCCTATGAGCGACCAAAAAAAATCAATCAGCATACGTCTCCAGGATCGGACGGAAAACGAACGCACTCGATGGCATACGTTAATTTTTTTTCGAGGCTCTCGTAATCTTGGTAAGGAGGCAACTCGATCCTATTGAAACACGTATGGCTCCTCGGGAGCTGCGATGGATCGCCAGACTTGTCGATGGTGAATCTCCGGGGCCCATCAGAACCCTGTAAATCCTTGAAGCCATTGATAGGCACCCTGGAAGTACCCGTTGCAAACTGGAGTAAGCGCGACTTGCGTTCTGGGGGCCAGCTACGGATACATTGCCAGAACCACTCGATGACTTTGTCCGTCTTTTCGTATCCGCGATAATCAGTGTATTGGATCCAATCATCGCTGTAAGGTATTCTTAGCATGATAAAGATGATGATGATGAAATACGCACGTGTCGATTTCGGATATCCCTCCTATGAGAAGCTCCAGTTCTTGCTCGTCAAACAGTTCGATCAAGTCTCGAGGTATGATCTCCTGGAGGCCGTGCATGAAAGCTTGGGATTGTTCCCAGACTCTTGTCTTAGTACGGTATTCCACAACCGCTTCAACGTACTCCTTCTTATTATCTTCGGTGACGGGTATACGAGCACCTCCAGGCTTCAGCTCGACTTCCACAATCTCGCCAAAGCGGTCTTCCGTAGAAGTGAACGTTTCGTCCAAGACATCAGTGATATCATTTTCTCTAAGTCAAATAGTTGAGCGACTCGACTTAGTAGCGATAAGAGGGTAACATACAGCATCCAGACTAGACTACGGTGAAGGTCGGCATCGATGCCTTCGAGATCAGCCAATGTTGACTTTTTCCCTAGGATTATCTTGTAGAAACTCGGCACGAAGTAGGCATCGAGGAAACGCCTGTGGAATATGGCAAGCCCAAGACATCGCCCGATAAATTTGAAGTACATGAGATGCTCAGGATTGATGCCCGACATCCAGTTCATCTGAAGGGTGTAATTGTTGTGCACCGAATATTGGAACAAGCCATAGGATGGGTTGAAGATCTCGTGAGACACCAAGAAGAACCACTCCCTATCACATCACAGCATCAAAGCAAGGCCGCCTCAACCAGTGAAATTCGTACCTTGAGACACCTCCGTAGTCCAAGCCATCTTCTCCTTCGAACTTGATTACGAGCCTCCTTTTGAGCTCGTTTCCGCTCATTCTCATGACAGCGGCGAAGCTGTCATCCAAGACTCGGCTTCTCCGCAGCTTCAACTCGCATTTCCCCTCCTTCAGGTTCATTGCGGGTTGACTGCGGAAGTAGATCACCTTCCTTCTGTAATCACGTTTGTACTGAGGGGCATTAGAATCCAGATTTGAGGGTAATCTTGGATCATCCCAGGTCGTGGTGGGGGTATTGTAATCAACAAAATACACTCTGCCAGTGGAGGTAAGGCGCATCTCCCAACCTGATGGAAGGGGACCAATATTCGCATTTGCGCTCGTGGACACAGAGATAGCGGAAGGAGCTATCTGTACCGTACGTGGGTCTATCCATGTCGTCAGGCGTGTATGATGGTCAACAAAGTAGGGACGTCCTTCTGGTGTCCGACGCTCTTCCCATCCTGCAGGTAGGGTGACATCTACATAACCACTGCTGCTGCGGGTGGGATTCTGAACATGCGGCCGCGTCAGTGGCATCACGGAGATTGATGGAGTATGGACAGAAGAAGATGCGGAAGGTGTGGCTGTGGGTCGTACCCATGTGGTCATCCGTCTATTGTGGTCAACGTAATAGACTCGACCGCTTTGTTCTTCAAGACGACGCTCCCATCCTTGAGGGAGGGGTGATTCGTCTTCGTCGTCCACACTGGTACTGATGGTAGATTGTTCCGTGAGAGAAGGCTCACGTGCAATACCTATAGGAGGTCTGGATAGTGTTGGTACACTGTCTGACGAGGTTCGGGACTCCGAGTTAGAAGTTGAACCTCGGCGGTTAAGAAGTGGACCCCGAGATGGGGCGCGGGGAAGAGCGGGTACACTTGTTGAGGACTCGGGGCGAAGCACGGGTGTGCCCTCACGGGGGCGCAGAGATCGGTTTGATGATATGCTTGGTGATAGATTGCTTTGCCCGGCATCTGATGGAGTATTCGGCGAAAGCGAGAACGAAAATAGCATCTTCCCGTGGACAGATATTCCGGTAGACGATTGGCGAAGGTCGTGAGTTATAAGCCCTGCAGAAAGTCGTGTCAGCATGGAGTGTTGGAGGTAGAGATTGTGAGTACTGTAACTGTTGGCCGTGTGCTCTATCGCCTCTTGGCCAGTAAGCTCAACGAGCCCTAGAAAACCTTGATCTCGCTTTCTGAATCTCTTCTGGTCAAATATCTGGATTATGATAGTGGAAGATGGCCGAACGGTGCTAGAAAACACGTTTAATACAAATAGCAGCAAGACAACCTAAAGAAACCCACATATCAAAGTGCTGGTTCCAAGTTGGGCTCAGACTCTTTTTCACAGTGCTGGTGGTGTATGTCTGATCATTGTCAACGGAGACGACAGCGAATGGGTCTGGAAGACTGAAAACCTCTCGCTTCACAAGGGAGCTGGCGGCAAAGACTGGGTGTGCGCAGATGAGCAGTCATGGCGGTGCAATAATCATGCATCACTTACCAGTGATTTGGACGGTTTGTGTTTGCTGCTCGTTCGACATCTAGAGCAGCCACCAGGAGGACTCGTCAGTAGTTGTGGCTGGAAGTACAGGAAGTGCCAGGATGGTGAGCGAACAGAGAGAGTGTGTCATTCTCAAGTTGAGGTTGAGCGGAGTGTTCTTGAGCGCTATGCACTAGTATGCAGCCTAATCCTATGCTGCTAAGATGGCAACCATGAATCAGACAATAACGATTCGAACTTAGATTGATATAGCAGTAGCAGTCCGGTCAATACCGTTGTTTGAAGAAGATATGATTATTTTATGGACGAGAATGGTGAACGACTGGAGCAACTGCAGCAAAGTCACACAAGAAGCAAAATATAGAGGGGCGCGGTGATGATGATGATTCAAGATTGTATGGAAAGCCGGTCCAGCATCATCTAGCTCGAGAGACGCTAACACGAGTTGGGCCAGGGCGGGACACGTGCTTACGAATTCGATCGTGCCAAATGACTCTGGATGACTATTGTGATAGAAAGGAGAACAGGGGTGCGTGCTTAGCTAGCTAATACCTACAAGGGGACAACGGTGTGGTCCGGGGTAGAGTTTTGATGAGGAGTGAAAAGGATGTCGCGGTTAGGGAGGCGACGCATGGTGCCGGATCCTTCCGAGTGTTCAGGAACCGGCACCACCAGGGACAACATGAATCGTGTTCACCCAAGACTGGTTTAGTGGAAACTGAAGTCGAACCGAATTACAGTGTATACTATTCTTAATCGTAACTGGTTTTCATCCTTTGGTCCGAACCTTCAATTCTCAAAAAATGAACTCTAAGAAAGAGAAGCCCGTCCACTCTCTCATCGCGGGTACGACTGCAGGAGCAATAGAGGCGTAAGTGAAGTCATTTCCCATTACTCATGGCTCATCTTCAGAAGATAGATTCGTGACATACCCCACTGAGTTCGTAAAGACCCGGTCACAGTTCGGTGGACAGGTGGGTGGTTATTTTCTTCCGTCATGAAAACTGACTGGTGTGTTGCTTCTTTTAATCAGCGAGAGTCACCTTTAACTATCATTCGCTCGACTTTACGCGAAAAGGGTGTAGCGGGTCTGTATTCGGGTTGTTCGGCACTCGTGATAGGCAATTCAGTCAAGGCTGGTGTTCGATTCGTGAGCTATGACCACTTCAAGAGTATGCTCGCAGACGCAGAGGTAATTTTTGTCAGATACTGGGAGGAAGGAACTGGCTGAGTATATTTGAAGGGTAATGTCAGTGCACCTAGAAGTTTACTTGGTATGTGAGCACTATGTGGGGACTGCATATATCTGATGATAAAAATAGCTGGTCTCGGAGCTGGTATGACGGAGGCCATCATCGCTGTTACTCCTTCAGAGACTATCAAGTATGTGTATGCTTATCTTAACTTTGTTCTGTTAATCTCATTCTTGTCTCTTATTTCAGGACCAAAATGATCGATGACGCCAAACGTCCAAACCCGCAATATCGCGGTCTTGCTCATGGAACAATGTCTATAATTCAACAGGAAGGCATACTCGGTATATATCGAGGGCTCTTTCCTGTTGTGAGTGTTTCCGACGCGCATATAATATGTGTATCTCTCAATTGTGGACCTTAGATGATGCGTCAAGGAGCCAACTCTGCAGTACGTTTCACGACATACACGACTCTCAAACAGTTCGTTCAGGGAACCACGCGTCCAGGCCGGCAGTTGCCTCCAGGGATCACGTTTGGGATCGGTGCAGTAGCTGGTCTGGTGACAGTCTATGCGACGCAACCGCTAGAGTGAGCATTGCTCCCCCCCTGTATGCGTTGATAAGAGCTCATCCTTTTCATAATCACAGCGTGATTAAAACGCGGATGCAGTCACTAACAGCGCATCAGCAGTATCGCAACTCTTTCCACTGTGGATATAGGATCTTGACGGAGGAAGGAATCTTCCGGTTTTGGACTGGTACAACGCCACGACTGGCCAGATTAGTTGTGCGTTTTTTTCATCATGCGACGTTGAAGTCGTTCAAATCTTAAATCTGCAGGCGAGCGGAGGCATCGTGTTCACGGTCTATGAAAAGATTATTAGTATCATCGGTGGTCGGGAGCAGGACTAGCAGGTTCATACAGGATATTCCCGAACCAAGTCGCCCAACGCACTCCCGGAGGGCACGATATAAATAATCCTGAACCTGTGGGTGACCTTCCTCACAACATCAGCCTCATCTTTCAGAGCCTGGCAGTGGTTCCTGAGTAGATATTACATGGTGCAATTACAGCGAGTGCTAGCACGCCAGGCTACAGTCCTCAGTATCACTGATGCTTCCTCGCACGATCACAAGTCTCGTTTTCAAAGTTAAAGTTCTTATTCCATGCCAATCAGGATTCTCGCAAGTATCGCCATTTCCTTTCACTGCCCCTTCTCATGGTCCGGGACTCCCTTTCCGGAAGTTTCGACAGTTTGTACAGCACCTACAAACTTTTCCATTTCCTGCTTGGCCTGAGTAATGGTGCTGCCAGGCGAGTATATCTCCGGCAAGTACTCATGGGAGAATCTCGCAATCCAATACCTGAGGCAGTACTGGTCAGCCGCGCATAGGGTATCTGAGAGAAACCCACTTGGAGTTCCAGTATTCTGGCTCACGCCTATGGGCAATTGAGTGCAAGTAGTCAGAATAGGAATTGCCTACCTGGGTTTGTACAAGCTCATGACGGTCATCGAAATCATCATTGAGCAAGTGGAGGAGCATGAACAGAGGCTTCTGAGCACCGTGACGAATTGAATACATAACGGCTCCGACGTTGAGATTAGCTGATTGCTGGTTGAAAAGTTTGAGCCTGGCGCCATATGTTCTTCGGCGAGAGCGGAGCGGTGGAGGTGAACGAGCAAAGAGGGTCTGCACTACAGGCGACAACCAGAGTTCCGCCTTAGCCATCGTAGTTTACTCGAGTCTTGAGGCTTCTGAAGACTAGGGTCACATAACTAATTTGGGGGCGGCTGGGGACTTTCTGGCGCATCCTAAGCAAGACCTCATATAGCTGATTTCGTGGACGTGCCGATTAGGACTTTCCTTCCCATGCTGACCGTCAACTCGCGCTCGTGATTCAGCTTACCTTCCATCAACGATTCAACATACTGGCACGGTCAATGTCGAATGTCCTGCTTTTGCGAGCTGCCAGTCAAGACAGTCCAGATCGATATGAGGATGCTTTCAGGTCTCGCGGATACCATCCAATATCAGTTCCGGTACTAGAGACTAATATAGTCGGCCGCGAGGAGCTAGGACGCAGATTGAGTACCGGTCTAGAGAAGCAGAGCCTTTCTGGAGTTATAATCACGAGCCAGCGAGCGGTTGAGGCATGGTCCGAGGCGGCTCAAACATTGATCATTGCCGATAACAACACACCTCTCAAGCCTGAATCTGGTATGGTCTATTGGCTGAATGCATCGTATCGGACCTCACAACCAAACAGACTGGTGGTCTGTGCCGTTCTATGCAGTCGGAGAAGCTACATCGGTTGCACTTCGTGATCTTTCTGATAAGATACCTCTGTATGCACCCAGAGATATTCGAGGTGGCTCGGAGACGGGAACTGCGGAACGCCTCGCGAGATTCATACTCAAGGATCTTCCCTCGGATGGGACAAGCAGGAAACTTCTCTACCTCACTGGAGATAAAAATCGTGACACGTTACCGAAGATTCTGGAATCGGCTGGTGTTGCTTTAGACCCACTCCAGGTCTATGCCACACAAGGTTCATCCATGTTTCCTCACGATTTATCGCTTGCATTGGCACGTGTCAAAGGAAAGTATTTCGTGGCCTTAAATTTGCAGCACTTTTGAAATTTCTAACAGCGGAGGGATTATCTTGGGGATGGATTGTCTACTTCGCCCCTTCAGTAGCTGATTTCGTGACGCCAATCCTGCGGGATCACTTCGCCCTGCCTGCGTCTAATTCTAGCACAGAGGATTGTGCTCAACTTTCAGAACATCATCACGTCAAAGTTGCTGCGATAGGACCTACTACGGAATCCTTTCTCCGACAGACTTTGAAGTTGTCGGTGGCAGTAACCGCGAGAAATCCCAAGCCGGATGATCTTGCCAACGAGGTCCTTCAACATGATGAGGCACAATGACATTCATCACTCCATGTATACCTTTCATCGCTTTGTCAATACTGCAAAACATGCTCAGTACATATGCCAACCTCGTTCACTTTTCACACAATCACACGTCGGAACTGACAGACATTACGGAATGGAAAACTTTACGGAACCTTACGATTCCGAAAATATTGTTGGGCACCAATTTCAATGCAATTTACCCAATCTCCAACACGCTGTCAACAGTCAACTTCTAACTACACGTCATTCTTTTGCATCACATTCTTTACTCTACGTACTCCTGAGGCAACCTGAACAGCAGCGTAAAGCTGGTTCTTTCACTGTTACGACATGAACTCTCCGCTGCTGCGACAGGAATATGGCGGGTCGTCGACCAGTTTGCTACCTCCCAGGGCACAGGGTCGCTCCAGGTCGTCGTCAATAGTGAGTGAGTACGACACGGGATTCGCAGGACCAAGCAGGTCTCCGAGTCCTTCAACGCATGAAGTAAGTTTTAGAAATAATACCCAATGTTTCCGATTAATTGAACTCGTCACGGTGGATAGAATTCGCTCGCGGACAAAGTAGGCTAATGCACTTTCTCTATAATCGTTGTTTGTGACATCTGTTTGTAGTATGCCTTACAACTCAATCCCGAAGACTGGGGCACAAGCGCCCTGCATGTAGGCACACCTGAACCAGATGATTACCTTCACACTCCAGACCCAAAGCGTGATCTTAAGAGTGACAAGGGAGGTCACATTTTCACTGCGCGTGGGATTGCAAACCTGGGATGTCTATTTCTCTTGGTCGCACTGATGCTTATGTTATTGTACGTTATGCAACTGCATCAGCATGTCTGTACTAACGTTCCTCCGATAGCCTCGGTAAGTTAGTGCTCACTATGAGACGCAGGCAGGATTCAGCAGCTGATATTCTCGAGTAAAGTGTTTCCAATCGTCAGTCACCTGTCCAGGAAGAAGCCAAGTCTCCAGGGAGGATTCAATCTCGGTGGCACCAACGCAACGGGGCAGATTCCATCGATGCCTGGCAACCGCGGCGTCATAGACGTCGATACTCCGAAGGAAGCTTACACGAAGGCATCGTACATGAACCAAAACGACATGTGGGATCTTGTTTTCTCTGACGAGTTTGAAGTTGAAGGACGGTCATTTTATCCCGGAGACGATCCATACTGGGAGGCTCCAAACCTGCATTACTGGGGCACGGTCAGTCAAGGTCATTTCCATAGATTGTATGGGACTAAAACATTGGACAGAATGATTTAGAATGGTACGATCCAAGCCAAGTAACAACGAAAGGAGGCGCATTGCAAATCAGATTGGAAAAGGCCGATCCTGCTTCAAATCACAATCTCACATACAGGTCAGGCATGGTAAGTCGAGATCATCTCATTGTGGTGTACTGAGATATGTATATTGTAGATCCAAACATGGTAACGAGTTCGACTTCAAGTTACCTTCGACACTAATGAGTGCCTAAAGGAACAAATTTTGTTTCACAGGTGGCCTCATTGAGAGTGAGCTACCTATGCGTTGTTTGCTGCCGATATCTACTGATCACTAACTTGTAGCTTCCGTTGTCCTACCGGGATCTAACAATGTCCAGTAAGTAGGCTGTTGTAAGACTATCGCGTTTTGCTGAATACCTGTTATTTAAGCGGTCTTTGGCCTGCTGTGTGAGTCTGGTTTTTCTTCACGTGGGAATGTGATTGACATTTTCTACCAAGCTGGACAATGGGAAATCTAGGTTCGTGCATTGTTGTCTCATCGCTTTGCGTATTTAAACCAACCATTTCCAAAGGTCGTGCAGGCTTCGGTGCTAGTTTAGAAGGATTGGTATGTGAACCTCTATCGAAGAGGTCATATTAACCAGACTATTTCAGTGGCCATATTCATATGACAGTTGTGACGTTGGCACGTTGCCAAATCAAACTTACCCCGGGACGTCCAAGCCGCTCGCCGCTGTACAGAACGGTGATCCTGATAATGGTGGCGTCTTGGTTAGTTCTCTACACGAATTGCCGTCCTAGATCTTCATTCATCTTTTGCAGTCATATTTACCTGGTCAACGACTTTCTGCTTGTACCTGCCCTGGTGAATCACATCCCGGTCCAGTCCGTAAAAATGGCAGTTATGTCGGCCGTTCTGCGCCGGAGATTGATATCTTCGAGGCGACAGTTGATAGTGGGATTGGCAAGGTTCGCTTACCTCAGGTTTCAATCAGCGTTGACTCACAAATTCATGAAGGTTTCACAATCAGCACAGTGGGCTCCTTTTAACGTAGGTCTGGATTATGACCAAATGGGATGTTATTAACTCTTTTAGGCGGGATATCAATGGTTGAACACTTCCGACAATCTGCAGATTTATCATCCAAACATCACTGTCCTGAATCCTTACCATGGAGGTACGCACTCATTCTTCATGCCAAATTCGTAACCAACAGCTGCGTTGCAGGAGCGTTTCAACAGACTACTAGTGGTCTCTCACTCACAGACCAAGACTGCTATGAGCTTGATACGGGTTGCTATAGCATCTATGGATTTGAATACAAACCAGGGTTTGCAGGAGTCAGACCACAATTTTTCCCCTGTGCTCACATATATCTCCAGGTTCGATGCTGGATACATCACTTGGATTAGTAGCGGCGAGGCCGTCTGGACAATCTATTCTGGTGGACTTGGGCCTGATACTGAGACCGAGATTGGTGCTCGTATCATCCCTCAGGAGCCCATGGTATCACGACAACTTTTCTCGCAAGCGAGCATGAAATACTGACCACGCCCTGTAGTATATCATTGCCAACCTTGGATTTTCGCTCAATTTCGGAGGAATTGATTTCGGGGACCTCCAGTTGCCTGCGACCATGTTGATCGACTATATTCGCATCTATCAGCCTTCAAATGCGCACAACATTGGATGTGATCCCCCTGACTTTCCGACTGCCACTTATATCGAGACGTGAGCCCCTATCCCAACCAAGACGTTCGAGGTTTGCTAAATATTTTCAGATACAAGGAAGCTTATACCAACTTTAATCTCACTGGGTGGAGCTTCCCGAGTTTTAATCAGACAGTGCCTAAGAACAGATTGAACGGAGGGTGTTGAGCACCTATCTAGGTCATCCGTACATTCACGACTTGCAGGATCATTGCTTATTGGGATCTGGGGTTAATTCATTGCATACAATTCCTGCACCAATCGCATTTTACTGTTGGTTCTCGCACATATCCGTATTACATTCACGATGTTACTTTAATACTTGAGTATATATATAACAAGCTTCACTGATGGAAAACGGCGAGAAATTAGAATCCTCCTTCAGCTCAGATGTATTAAAAGAGGCGGATCAAGCACCTCCAGATGCGCCTGAACAAACTCCAGATTATCTCGCCATGTTAACGCATCCTAATACCCCTCCCCATCGCCTCGATCTCAAGGTAAACGCCATATGTGCCGTGCAGCGAAATTTGTCTGTAGAAAAAGAGTTAGTACGAAATGCGCGTGTACTACGCATCACGACACTGCACAAACGTTTCGTCGAAGTCCAAACTCCTGCAACAGGCGAAATTCACTGTCTTCCACGGATAACTTTCGCTTTCAACCCACCTCGGTCGAATTGGACTGTCAACCGCAGACAGTTTCCACTGCAGTCTGCGGGCCGCATACGCAACAACATTCAATGGATCGCAGGGCCTGACACTGCAACGAGCAGTGCTCGACCTTTGAACAGACGTTTTTGCGCATGGACAACTATACACTGCTATATCGAGAGTTCGCAATCGTCGTGATATCAGAACATTGTGGTCCGAGACCCCGAACGTTGTTTACAATAGTTTGTTACTATGTTGAACATGTCGACAACGCCCGTCCGCAGGCGAGCGGACTGCTTGTAGTGGAGTAAGGCTTGCTTAGCGGGCGACTCGTGGTTATTGAGGTTTGCCCTCTTTCTAACCTTTCCCGTCATCTCGCTAGGTGAGCTAGTCGTTTGGATTTTGTTGCTAGCCCTCCTACTAACCTTTCACGTCGCATCGCTAGCTTATTTTGAAGTCTCGGTCGGCCGATTCGTCATAAACAACCACTCTTGCGCGATGACTTAGTGCGAGTATACGACTCTATGATGCACCCCTTGATCCACGACGACCTTCTTTGGGTTTCGGTCTTCTGCGGCTAGGCGAGTTAGTAGCATCTGACGATCCTTCTTTGCGGGAGTTTTCAAAGTACACCCTGCGCACATCGGTTACCGTCTCTCATGCCAGTTTCTCCTTCCTAGTTCAGCGGGACAAGACTGATGCGCAGTATGAAGGAAACAAAGTCGTGATTCAACAGGTGCCAGTTGGATCCGACCCACTTCCTATCTTTACGCGTTTCCTTGCATCCCGCGACTCCCGTTTTCCTCTACATCCGTTTCTCTGGCTCAAGAGCGACGGCAACCCGCCCACCCGATCATGGTTCATTTGGCGTCTTCGCCGATATTTTCCTTCTTTTTTTCAGGTCATTCAATGCGAGCCGGTGGTGCTACCTCCCTCGCAGCGGCGGGCGTATCTCCCGACAACATCCGAGCAGTTGCTCGATGGAACTCGGATACCTTGGAGCGCTACGTTCGTAAAAATACGACTCTGTTGCAAGCGTTGTTGTTTCATGGTCGTCCTGTGCACGACCCGCCTTTTGCCAATGCATAATTTTTTAGTCCGTGCGTCTATGTATTTTTATATTTTTTATCTATTTTTATCTACACTTCATTTTTATTCTTCCCTCCCTACCCCCCCATTGACATACGCATAATAGCGGTCATTCCTACGTCTTTTCGATTGTGTCTAGGGCTCGGTTACTTACCTGGGACGCCTTACTGTTAGTCAGCAATAACAGTCGGCTCCTCGGCACGAGGAGGAGCCGTTTTGACTACTTAGGTGTTCGAACGCCTCGTTAAATCCTGCGAGGCCCATTAGCACTCATCAACTTGCTTATGTGGAAGTAGACTCAGATATCACATTCGTCCCACACCGAATTGCCCCTCACAGAATAAGACAGGTGGCAATATGCTGGCGTCACAGAAACACTCTCCTCAATGGGATTCCGTGGCGGTTCTAATTGCCACGAAGAATAATCTCACTGGCAACACATAAAAGCAAGGCATCCGATTCCCGTTTTTCTCCTTAGATTGCTTTCATTCCATAGACACCACATCCTCACAAACAATGCGTTTCCCAGTTGCCCTCGCTGTTGTTGCTACTCTGACAGCATCAATATGTGCCAAGCCCATCAACGCTGATGCCGATGCTGACGCCCACGTTGGAGGATGTCCTCATTTATGCTTTCATTTTGCAACTTGCGAGCACTGCCCTCAAAAACTCTGCGTATGACTGGTTTGCATCCTGTATTCAACCACATAACTCACCAGTGAGGTAGTTTGCCTTTTTATGTTCCTAAAGCGCCAGTGAGCCACGATTCTACTTTCACATCGTTGCAATATGGTTGATGGAACTGCGCACAAGTTAGTACAAATGGTTTTCTGCTCGGTTGATCAACGGGGTCACATGAATCTTACACTGATCGATATTTAGGGAATGTTTTGATGTCGTACCAAATGTGAAGAAAATATTGGAAGTTTAAACTGACATAAAGATGTGGAAATAACTTCAACTTTTGGTGATGTTAGAAAAGACACATTTTGGCGAAAGGGATCGATAGATTTCATGAATCATAGGCCTGGCTGATATTTTTTCGATTTGTATCTACGTATATCTGCCTCTAAATTGTCGATTTTCACTCTGATCGTAACGGCGGTTAACCGCCAGTCACATTCTTTGCTTATTTCGAGACTTCTGTCACGTGAATGTAAGGTTTATGGAAACTCTAGGTCTAGTCTACGTAGAGTCTATTATGGGTCCTGTCTGGGTCCTGTCTGGGGGTGTGCCAGCCGCCCGGCCAGATTGAAGCGGAGTTCAATTCCAAATCGGGACGATATGAGTCAACTTGTAACGCCTACGGTATACCACCCGCCGCCTCCCGCTTGCTGTTTCCTATGTTGAGAGAGACCAAAAGATTCGCCTAGAAATCTGGTGGTGCTGGGTGGTAGAAAATGAGGCGCCAAGGAGGTAGAAATTCCGTAAGGCTGAGGAAGGAGGATGTCATCTTTGATCATACTGGCTGAGTTAACGAAGCGGGTTAAAGACAAATATAACAGGCCTGCGAGTTCGGCTTCATTGGAGAGTCCCGCAAAGAGAGTGACGACATACATGGCCCCGCCGGGTGCGTGGTCGTCGCGGTGAATGTCGACGAGCTATATTAGACCTGGTGCTCAGCGGTCGTGCCGCACCGTGGTAGTCCCGATCATAATGCTACCCAAAGCGGCATATCGGCATCTGCCAAATTTCAAATTCCTCGCTTGGCCTGCCAAATCACTCTGAGTTCGACCAGTCTGACTACGTCAATAAATTCTCACCATCTCAAATTGACGCACAATCAGACTAGTTACGAGTCTAGACGAGCTAGGGGCTGGCGCAGTCGTCGTGCGTGTGTGTGAGTACTCACTGGGCGTGAGTCGTGACGCGTGACTTCCAAGCTGACTCACATCTTCCTGATTTGGAATTGAACTCCGCTTCAATCTGGCCGGGCGGCTGGCACAGATATCAAGAAAGGGTACAATTCGCGAATTGGTTTTATATACAACAAGCAGTCCGCTCGCCTGCGGACGGGCATGGTTGATCTGTTATAGCAACAAACAATTGTAAGTAATGTTCGCGGTCTCTTTTTCCTCATTGGACGCGGACCACAATGTTCTGATATCACGACGACTGCGTACTCTCGATATCGCAGTGTATAGTTTCCCATGTGCAAAAACGTCTGTTCGAAGGTCGAGCACTGCACGTTGCAGTGTTAGGCCCTGCGAGTCGACACCATATTGCAAATCGCTCCGTCGTTATAGATATACGCTTGGATTGATTTCTGATCACGTGAGAGGTCGCGTCACGGTCAGCCGCTGGCTTATTTATATCTGTGCCATATTTTCCACCATCCCTCCACAGCTGCTTCACGTCCCTTGAACCTACAACACAAATCATTTTTTTCATGCCTACTGTCTCACGAAAGCGAAAATCTCGTACTCGTCCTGAATCAAAGCCATATGAGCGGCGAGCTGGCATCCTGCATTCTTCCAGCCCTGCACTTTCCGATGACCAAAACGGTGATGAATGCCCTCCCTCACCAATCTTGAATATAGCGGACAAACCTGGATTTCCTACATACACTCAGTACAAACGTCTAGAGATGGCATACCTGCAGTCCCTGTCCCCGCGGAAACGTGACAAGGCCCTCATATCTCAGTGCATGTTCGATAAAATCTGGGACGTACTACATCAACCGGATGCATGCTCTATTGGGACACCACAGTTTCGCTTCTGGGTTCGCAAGATGTTCACGCTCAGCACACCCGACAGAGAAAACGATGACTGTGAGGCACTGGCAGTTGTCATCCTCCATGAGAACAGACCAGTCGCCGTTCAGGAGCAGCTATATGAACTCTTTTGTTACTGCCACGAAGAGTCCAACCACGGCGGTCGGGACAAAACTTGCGCTGTCATCCGCCAGCACTACTCATGGGTCCCGAAAGAGCTTACTGCGCAGTTCGTCAAAGCTTGTCCTACGTGTACCTTCAAACGGAGCGGGAACCCGGAGCTTATTGCACTAGTCCAGGGGAAGATGTCCACTCACAAGCTTAAGGAGGAGGAATCCCAAGGTTTGCTGTGCCAGTCAGGTTCTCCTGAAACAGGTTGGCGGTTTTCTGGAGGTCCACTCGATCAGACCGAAAATGTCGCCCGTTTCATCGACCCTCCGTCCACCCCTTCACCGTCTTTGTACCTGCAGAGTCCTAAGCTACCCATGCGTCCCCGACCACCCTTGCTAGATTCAGCACTACAAGACCTCACTGGCATGCATTTGAGGCAAATTCACACCGGCTTAGACCCATTGACCTTGGACCTCGCGAGTCTGTGTAGTCATTCTGATGCGAAGCCAGGTGATTTGCCGTCTCTAGCAGAAGCCTACCGGGACAACATGAAAGATGACCAGTACAAATTGGCCGCTCTGTGGCCCGAAAATATTTCAGACTCGCTCCCCCCTGAACTGCAGCGCCTACAACTGTCGAGCCCAGTTTTTGCACAGGACTTACACGTTAACCAGATCGATCCTGCCCTGCTAACCAGGGAAGAGAAAAACAACAGAGAAAGAAACGGTTGCATGGAGGGAATGTTTCCCTCGTTACCTTATTCGCCATCGGACTTCAGAGAGTCGCCTAACCTCAGGTTCCCGTCGTCTCCCGTGACTCCCGAGGAGCAACAGCGCCATAGTCTGTATGAAGATTGGACACCGCTAAGTCTAGGGATCAGTCCAGCGTCTTCTCAATGGCAGTTTGGCAACATGTCAGCTTACCAGACACCAATGTTCAACTCTGCGACGGGCAACAGGTCAATGACAGACTCCGAACACCATCATATGTTGCCCGTTTCGCCACCATTGTCACCTCTAACACCATTCATTAGTGGTTCACCAATGCCTACTAAAGAGGGAGTATTTGGAGACGCAGCTGTTGAGGGGAATTTGATGATGATATAGCTGAGATTTCAATAATTTTGCTTCGGAAACTATGTACATTATCTATTCCTACAAGGAGGCTAGTCCGCATCAACGCTGCATGTGCATAAGTATGTTGGCCCTTTTTATTGACGAATTGGTCCGCAATAACTCGCGGTGGAAATGAAGGACCGCTCGATGTCATCTTAATCGAACGAGAACAATGTTAATCGACCTGCCCAGTTACAATTATCATTGGTGAACGTGGTAATCCGTCTCCCTCTGTGTAGTGAAGCAGAAGAAAGCGCTATTGAAATCCCCCGTGCATGCGACAGAGACCATATGAAACTTACTGGAGACTTGCGTACCCCGTTTTCTATCGACTTATCGATTTGTCATATTTTTCCTGAATCATCAACTCACGGGCATAGTAATTCAGTTCTTGCAACAGGCAATAGTAAATCAGACTACATGTTATTCGTTCGAGGTTACTTGGTGTCTCAGTGTTTTTGTGTTATTATTACTTGGCAATTATTTGAATTTTGAACGACTGCTATCGATGTCTGAAATTGTAAGTGGATACGCTCGGGACCTTGACATCAGCCTATGATGGTCAATGCAACACCCGGCTAAAGACACATGAAACATATTAAGATCTTGTCGAGGGATTTCCAGCCAGCTTTTGAATCTTGTGATTAAATCATACAAAGATGACGCTCCATTGTCGATGTGAAACCCCTGCCAAATCCCCATGTTGCCAGTAGACCACCGCTATTGTGCTTTACCCGCAACATGTTCGCGCAAATATCTCACTCTATAGCATGGCGAGACGTTGCAGCCAACAATGAATAAAAAAATACACTCACACCTGCCATACGTATATAAGGCTGTCGGCTGCATAAGTTGTAAATCCAGCCCCCTCAACACTGCTCTTGCTTTATTCGACCTACCATTTGACTCATAGGAGTTGGGGAGCACCCCCACAAATAGTATACCGACACGGGCGTGATCGAGTTTCAGCCGCCCTTCAGGTGTCTTAAACTCGATCCCTTTCGCGCCGGTGGCAATCTTGCATCATAGAATAGTGATAGTTGCTCTAGAGTTCTGCGAAGGTATATGTTACATATCATATTAGTGAAGTATAATCACTGACTTACCAGTGTACCGCAGGACATAAATTTGACGAGGACCGGCCTTGTGCTGAAATGGGTAAATATGGAAGACCTATGTCTACTCGTATCAGCACAAGCCCGGTCCTGTCATGCCTCGTTATCATTATCCTCGCTCTTCATCTTCAGAATCAAGTCAAAACTTGAAGATGCGGAGCGAGGGTAGAGGTGAAGGGTGCCGCGGTCCCAAACGTTCTGCTGATTATCAGCAGGTTAATATCGTAATTTGTCATATCGTACAGTAATAACTTACCATGTAATGCAGGACATTGCATATGTCCTATGAAGGCGACCATACACTGGCAGATTTAAGCATTGGGTTAACGCTTGCATCTGGCAGTGGAAGCCCGCCCTGTTCAGGCTCCAGGTGCAACTAAGCCTGGCGACCTTACACTGACAGAGGTAAGCATTGAGTAAATGCTTGCATCTGTCAGTATAAGCCCGCCCTGTTCAGGCTCCAGGCGCAACTTAGACGTGCAAAACAAGCATCGCACATAGCATGTACAACAATGTCTGAGAGAACTGCGACATAGGACTTATGTGACATGGCAGCGCAAGGCTGGTCCTGTCTGCCTTCATTGGACCCCGCGGTGGTATCGTTCGTTGAACATTTTTATAGTAATTGATGATGACAGAATGTCAATTGTGTCTGTGAGCACGAGACCAGGACACATCCAAAGGACGATCATGTCATCCTTAGCAGATGAGGTGTTAGATGTCTGAGAGATGATCTTGCTGGTGGCGGAGAGCGAAGATGCCCTAAGTAACGCATCATCACTGTGTCAGGAAACACATTCCTCGGATTATGGGGAGCTAGAGCTGGGAAATGAGGGGAAATGCTAGGAAGGTGTGGGCAGGATTGCCATTTGGCCAGCGCGGTGACGACAACTAGAACCATATGTAGTACATTTGGTACAAGAGGATAGCATGGTGTGTCAGGTAATCCACTCGAACAGAAATGCAGTGCCAGGGGGCAGACACCAAGAATCGTATTAAACCAGTCAAAATATACAGGAGATTTTAATTGATAGCAAGACTATGCAATGCTGAGAGGTTAGTGGAGACGAAGAACTTACTGCGCATACGAGAAAGTAAAGACTTGGAATTGGGCATCTGATCGCTTAGCCGTGCTGAAGCTGTGAGGCAAAACACAAAGATGCAGCATTACAGGCACACCTTCTAAAGGGGACTCGACCTTCTGCCTGGGCTCCCTCTCTCAACTCTGGGAAGAAAACACCTGCTCGATCACAGCTTTCGTTCTGGTCAAGTGCTACGTCTGGGCGCTGAGAAATTATCACAAAATTTGATAGTAAGACCTGAAATTGTCATGCGCCTATCAAATGAAATCTCGAAACATGTAGCGTCCAGCCCCTGCGGATCACAAGAACTTGGCGACAATGCCTTACCAAAAGATCAAAGTGGACACCACCATTAGAAGCATGTTTCCCTTGCCTGGTAAACAGTGGATGATCGCGTATGTATGAATGGTTCATTTCGAGTCTCGGATGAATTGGAGGATAAAGATGAAAGCGTGAAGGCCATGGCATTCTCACCAGGTGGCAAGACGGTAGCAAATGAGACTTCGCATGGATGGGCAAGGTCATGAGACTCCAATGAAATATTCAGAGTGCGAGATATTGAACGTGGTGCAGCCCGATCAAGGCAGGGGAGATGATGAAAATGGTTTGCTACTCATGCATACAGCTAGGAAACTGTTTGAGATATTCGAGGTTGCGCTTGTTGTTGGGATAGCCCCAAAGTCCGAAGGCCTCCCCATCTGTCCCGGGCAAATGTAACTCCTGTAGACGAGTCGGGACTCGGAGCCTCTGAGGACAACCACCGTGGCACCTCTCGAAATTCTCACGATACAATCTGTTAGTTCACACCTGTGACAATGCCACGTCAACTGATAATTTATATCACAGCCTTTACCATCTTGCCGAGCTCCAACTATTAGTCCGAACAATATTGGTAGTAAGACTTTAGGGTGGTTGTCAAAAGGCGTACGTTGTCAAACGAGACTGATACATTGTAGCCCTACTCAATAACGATTTTATTTGGCCATTTTATTTCGTGACACTTCCGAAATAAAATGAATAAGCTTCAACACGTTCGGCTAAGCGAGGCGCAGGGGTTTCTACTGCTCATTGGCGCAGGCGTCGTTGAAACACGATAGTACGCAGGTACCTCATACACTCGTATCATCTACTCTTTCCACTGAATACCGCCGCCTCTATTTCAGCTTTCCAATCAGCAGCGTTCTACGTATTGTTTGATCAACAACAGCACCAATACGAATGCACAGACACTCACTAATGCGTCAGCTTTTCTTAGGGTGGGACGTCTTGGTTAGGAGTCGCGCACCGGCCAGCCCCGCAGATATCTTTGGAATTGCAACAGTCGGTATCATGTACGCAGATTGCGCCAGTTTGGCTACAGGTTGGTCGCCTTGCTGTGACAGACATTATAGATGCTGTCAACGCAACAACAAAGGTGAGGAAGAAGAAGCGCATTGTTTCTGTGAGGTGGTATAATCTGCTAAGGGTTTGAGTGATTTCTTCGAGGTGCGTGGATGCTGGTGACGGTTGGAAAATGACTGGCTTTTATATCGTTACGAAAAGGTTTTGCAAAATGATTACGCTCGATGGATGACATCGCGGCAGAACCTATCCCTTCTGGTCATTTCGTAAATAAGTAAGTGTGACGATTTTGGTGCGGTCTTGCCTCGGTCGTGATGCGACGGGGGCCTGTGACCAGGCCGGAAAATGCTGCTGGCAACTTACCCAGCGGCCAGCAGGCCTACATTAATTTCCGAGATACAGTTTAGTGTTGCCATTAGCTGAACTCCGGGGTATCTAAGACTCGTAGGGATGCAATCTATATCTTCAGGCAACCCACTGCCGTGGATGATGACAACGCGTGGCACAGCACTTCTTTTGAAACGACCGTAGCGGCAAGTAGAACGAAACTTCGTGGGACTTTCGAACATGCTACATTGCTACGATCATGATCAATAACCTTATGTGGGGCTTGTGCGTGAGGAAGGGAGAAAAGCGCTCATATTTGAATTCTAGACCATCCATGACAAGATTCCGAATCTACCGAACGCATTCAAGTTGGGCCGCGATTCGGACGGTTTTACTTCGTAAGATGTTCACGCTAATAGAACCGGAGTCATGTGCCAATACCCTCCGGGAACAGGCCGGACCGTCGATGTGTAGGAGCAGCGTATGTCAAACTCTTTTGCCATTACCGTCATGACTCGAAGGAATCTGCAACTCGGGTCAGTGTATGGGACAGGGTGGGGTTTTTGGGACAATATTAAGCTACGTTCTTTAATTTGTCAATATTAATGTGCGTCTAATTGCTTATACTTGATCTGATCAAACTGTGCTGTTAAACACTAGCACGTATTTGATTTACAGTGGCTAGTTTACCCCAGACCAAACAGTACGCAGGCACCCCCTACACTCATATGATCTACTCCTTCCACTCAATACCGCCTCTATTCATTTCTCAATAAGCAGCATTCTACGTATTGCTCGATCAACAACAGCACCAATACGAATGCCGAAACACTTACCAATGATGCACCGGCTTTTTCCTTGGAACTCCGTTATGGTCTGCAGCCACGCACTGGCCACCCCCGCAGATATCTTGGGTATTGCAACAGTCGCTATCAACTGTGCAAAGTTCGTCCTGTTGGCTACAGGTTGGTTGCCTTGCTGTGACAGACATCATAGTAGATGCCGTCAACGCAACAGTAAAGATGAGGAAGGAGAAACGCATTGTTTATTTGAGGCGGTATGATCTGCCAAGGGTTCAAGTGATTCCTTCGAGGTGTGTGGATGCCGGTGACGCTATGAAAATGAC